GACGGTTCATGGGGCCAGTTGGTGATGAGGATGACGACGCGTTTGGCGTTTTTGGAGCGTTTAAAAACGCGCATAATTCGCATGCAGCCAGAGCGCTTCACTCATTTACATGGAGTGTGTGCGTGTGTGTGTGTGTGTGTAAGGAATGCACGCAGCATGCTGTGGCGTGCATTTTTATTAACTGCATTGCGTGCATGTATGGCCGCGTGTGTGTGTGTGCGTGTGTATTATTATTTAAAAATTAATTACACGCCATGTTGGCTCGTTTGGGTTTTGCAGCGATCCTTTCTTCTCTTCTCTCCCTTTTTCAACTTACTTCGTCCGCAATATTTTGTTATTGCTGTTATTTTTAATTTAAATATAAAATATTGACTTGCTGCCGCAATATGAGCTGCTCTTTAACCGCTCGCCCGCAATTTGCTGGCCTTATTTATTGATAAGAAAAAAGTGTATTAATATCAAATATTAATTTATACGAGTATTGTCCGTCGTGCGAGTCGTGCACCTTGCCTTGTCTTGAGTGGAATTAAAGCGCTTTAAAATTGACGAGGGCGCACACATGGCGCAGACTTTCTCCTAAGATGAGGGCTCGTTCCACCCGTTGTCCTCGCCCACACCTCGCTAAATAAAGGAAAACAAAAGCGAGAGCTGTTGCTTCTTTTTGTGTTTGCGTTTTTGTTTTTATTGCACGCTGTCCAGCAGCAACGGCACGTTCCTGCTCAGTCGCCAGCGACAACGTCCTTTTTGCCATTTCCGGCATGGCCTGCAGTCCAGTTCAAGTGTGTATGTATGCATGTCTGTGTGCAGGACTCATAAAATTGTTTGCGATTTGAACGTTTTTGTGCGATCCAAAGCCAAGTCAAGCCCAGGCCATCCCAGCCAAGGCAAGGCAAGGCAGGGCAGCGCATTGAAAAATAAAACGCTCCATGTGAGGCTTCACACACACGGGAGACAGGGGAAAAAATAGTCCTTTGCAAGAGGAGCCAAATCAAGCGCTTGGGTGGAATTTCATCCTCCTGCCTCGGCATGTCCTGTGTGTGTTATCCTTTGACAAGCAGCGTGAATGTGCGCGCCAATGCAATGGCCGTCGCCCATAGGCACCCTCCCAGTCCATCCCCATCCTCCTCGGGCTCGTCGATGTGTTGGCCATTTTATTATATTTGCTCGCAGACATTTCTGCTCTAATACGAAAATGGGATTTTAGGATATAAAAATTATGATAGATTACCGTTTCATGCGCCCGTAGACACACACACACACAGACACACACATGCACTTGTCCATCGCATGGCGGACGACTGATGTCGGACTCCCTTTGTTTGACGTTCACGCTTCACGCTGCGCTGCCCTCACGAGTGCGTCGAGGGACTGTGGAAATCACTTGCTGCTGATAGAAGTGCTATTGTTGCCGCAGTTGTTGTTGCGGCTTATTGCTTTGGCCACTCTCATATTAAAGTTTAAGCTGCGCACTGAACTTCTGGCCTGCAGCTGCGCTCAAAAATAGATCCATCAAAATAATTGTTATGCATTACTTCCCCACTCGATGTTGTTAGCAGTTTATTATTTTTCCAAGCACCGACCGACAAATGGTCAATGGCCACTCCACTTGCACACACACACATACATATATATAACTATTTGATACATAAGTACACACATATATGAGTAAATCAAGGATTTGCTTCATTGCCGTTTTCTTAGCCAGAACTCACAGGGGCCTGTGGCGCCATCTGTGGGCAAGCGTGGCAAGCTGTGTCGTAGCAAAGGCATTCGCAATAAATGGAAGCTTGCCAGAGCTTTCATGCACACAGCTTAACCCCACAACGCCCAACATATTCGTTTAGCCCCCTATTGAGACAGCGACTGTCCTTGAAATGCCGTTTCAATCAGTGCACCACATTTTTTGTGGCACTTACAGCAACAAAAAAAGCGTTGCGAAATACACAAACAAAAGCCAACGATTATTTATTTATGTGTGTCGTTCTTTTTTGTTTTTGGTTTTTACAGTTCCAAATACATACATGTGTCTAGAAGTTGAGTTAATTAAAAGTTTTTCGAAACTCATAACGACAACTCACTGAACGATATACAGTCTTGAAGACACTCAGAAAAATTGGAGAGGTTAGCAAAGTTGGAGCAAGTCGAAACAAGTCCAATTGATAGAAGAAGAGCCGTTTTAAGGTGGAATTTAATTCTGAGCAGGAATAATAATAATCCGTAACTTTATTAAAATAGTTTCATTTTCATTAATTTTGACATGAACAATTTTTTTAAAACGTGTCATTAGGTCTGTGAAAAGAATTGCAAATCAATCACATTTTGTAGCGAAGGTGGGGCTTTTTAGATGCCCAGGGCACGTTCCAAACTAGTAATGCTTGAGGAATTAAATACAATTTAAATATATATCATGATTTCTTAAAGGTCGAACTAAAGCTCTAGAATAGAAATACAATAAATTAAATTGTCTTTTAACAGCTCTGATAGTTATTTAATTAACAATTGCTCTGAAAGTATTCATTTATTTTTTTCACTTCTATTTCTTGACGGATAAGTTTTAATAATATAAGAACGTTTTATACTAGCGTCACTAATTACGTCGACATTACACGGATCGTAAGTATTTCCAGTATTCCTGCTTTGTGACAGCATTCGACCGAAAAGCGCTCCCACTCGACAGATGTCATTATCCATTACCTAAAGCCCATCGTTCTACATGAGAGTAGAAAATCAGCCTTGTCAGAGGTAGAGTAATGATTGCGCAAACGTTGTGCAAAAGCAGCGACTCGCCGAGTCGTAGCTATTGAACACTGTTTGACAGCCTTTATAGAACGGGGATACCAGTGGGAATAAGCATTGGCCCAATGGGAGCGCGCTTCGGTCGAACACTATCACGTAGAAGGTACACTGGAAGAAAAATAGGCACTACACCCTATACTTAAAACCACTTAACAATTAGCAAACACTGTCTGGTTCATAACTTTAAGACCAACTCAATGCAGCAACATACTTATAAACTGGTCACACTTTTAAGTCAGATACGAAAAATGGGGTTTCCTGCTTGGCTTGCTTGAAACTCTATGAATTCAAACGAGCTTACGACAAAATAAATCAATAAATAGTAATTATTTGAATACCGAGAGTGTGTTGGGCCTCTTTTATGTCTCACAAAGTATTCGATGCTCCATTACTCTACATTTCCTCAATTTCCATTGGTTACCAAAAGCTAAAGCTGGCTTTAAATTTGAGCATTAAAGTGTAAGCGAAGTGAAGTCGAGCGCATATACTTGTATCCCCAACATTTGTGTTAAAATTTGTGGCTAGATTGTTATATCGAGGCTGTACCAGTCTTCGTTTGCAGGCTAAGGAAATAGGAACTGACTGGCACATTAAAAAAACATCACTGATCCATTCGGTGGCACTGAAAAGAGCAAGAGATATTCAACAAACCGTATTGCGGGGAGCATATGTATGTGTACCTACCCTATACTTTTAAAAGTAGAACCATCAAGCAGATGAGAGACATTTTTCTCCTTCAAATATCACAAATTTCATGGCGGTTTCAAGTATTGCCGAGCCTTTCTTCATTTCTTACATAGATGCCGGAGCGATCTGTCCAATTTTCAGCTGTGTTATTTTAGTTTTATGTTTATTATAACTTATTTACTCCAGTTATGAGTTTCATTATAACTAGGAACCTCTTGTTCGCGACCTAATTGTTTTTCCCTGGCAGTGCAAAGAAATTCAAAGTCAACCAGATGCTGAGAGCACTTTCGTGTGACTGAGGAGCGAGCAAAGAAAAGCAATGGCATATATACATACATCTTGATACAAATACGGCAAAATGTTAGGCCCTTCACTGAAAAAAATTTGGGTCTATTCACACAAACACGAGAAGTGCCTTGATTGTGTGTCCACAGGTGTTCCAATAAGAGAACAGGGGAACAAAAACTATACACTATACAAGTAAGCGTAATATGTGCCAATAACTTAAGCGGCCCTCCACGATTTAGGGCTACTAAGGCGAACAAAATAAATATTCGAACATAATAATTATTTAAAATAAATATTATATATACCTCTAACTTCAAGGGCCTTCTATTTAATTGTGTTTGTTTATTGTATTAATTGGACGACTAAGAGTATCCTGCTTGCCATCATTCTTTCATCTGCATTGGACCTTTTTCCTCACCAATCTACGAGCGGAGTCGTCGACTGTGCTTTTGTTGCTCAATGCGTTGCTTTTCTGTTCATTGTCCGGTTATTATTTTTTAATTAGACAACAATAGCAACAACTACTGGGTAATGGGTAACTCCGCCATGCAATTTGTAGGTACCCCCAAAAGGTCATAACTATTAAGCAACTGTCCAACTTTTTGGTTGGCAGCCCAACTAGCGACGAAATGTCTTTAAGGCTATGGTCGCCGTCTAGTTTCCAATTTCAAACTTCTGGCCCCGCCGCCGAAAGTGACTCAACCATGTAAACACCCTCCCTCCCCCTCCACCGCTCCTCCGATACACTCATCCCCCCGAAGCAGACATCGCGTGCTGCGAGATCGTGCGTCTCCCTCTCGCACGACCACTTCGCTGCTGCGTGCATGCGCCTCTGTGGGTCGCCGCAAGGGGCCGGAGGTGCTGGAGGGGGGCTTTTGTAACAAGTGGTTGGCCGAGCGCTGACGACTGCCAGCAGAGCTGAGCTGAGCAGAGCAGAGCAGTAGCCACATGCCAGAGCCCAGACAGAGTTGCGTTTTAGTTTTTAATTTAGTTTCAGTCGGTCTGGAGTGATTAGTTTAGCGACTGCAAAAAAAAAAAACATAAAACTAAACAACAACAATAAAAGTGCCAAACACTTGTCCAATATACTGGCCACCAAGCCAGTTGATGGCTATTTAGTAACTCTATAATCCCAAAGTCACGCGAAAAGTTACAGATGGGACGCAAGTGTTCTCACTGATTGTGCATCTAAATGGCCCATTGATTCCCTATATACATACTATATACATATATATACATATATATTTTTAGGTGCATACTCACCGAAAACTCTGTCAACAAGTGCATTTAATTAACCGCTCTAAAATGGGCAATTCGAGTTCCATTTGCGCCGATCGCAATGCCGTTAGGAATTTCGATGAAAATGGGTGAGAAACAAAACAAAAACCAAAGAGCAGACAAAGCGTTGGGTTTCGAGAGCTGTCTGATAAGTTTGGCCATCCAAAAAGAAATGTTTGGCCTAAGAAAGAATAAACAATCTCGATTGACTCCTTAAGTTGCTTCTTCTAGTAACAAAAGGCCAATGAAAGCAACTAGTAATCTTGATTTGTCGAAGTTTCGTTTCATATTCGTTTTTGCATGCAAATTTTTTAGACGACGAGTATTATGTTTACACCCACATTATGTTATTCTGTAAATGTGTTTATAGCACAGATAGATTCAGATGGGAACGCTTTTTGCTGTGTAATGCAGTGTGTAATTGTCAAGTGTCCAATTAGAATGTCCACGTTATCCCGGCTAACGAGATTAAGCTATAATCTCAGGAGTCTAAGTCAACATTACTTTAATACATAAATGCACACTGGTCGAAAAAGCAAAAGTTGAGGCATAAAATAAAATGCGGTTTGCAGGGACTTCCAATTTGGTACAGTTGATTGTAGTAATATACATACATATATAAAAATTGGAAAAACTTGTAGGTTAATCGGACCACGCCCACTCGTATCTCAACATACCTTTATCGGTGTTTACCATTTTAAAGCAAAGTTTATCAACAAAGACAAAAAGTTTAAAATTGAATGAAAAAACAATTTCAGTAGCAGCAAAATATTTTCAAAGTAATCAAGCTTAAAATCATCGGACTTTGAGGACGTCGTAAAAATACCAGGGTTGCAAAAAAATTTTTTTGGACACTTGTATTTTTATCTCTTGGTCTATATTCTATCAAAATACTAAGAATTGTTTTCTGTATTTTAACATTTTTCTTTTTGGTTATATGCCCCAACTTTTGCTTTTTCGCCCAGTGTGGTCCATTGGTGCAAAATATTACATGTAATAAAATATTTACAATATTTTTGAAGCAAACTTATTCTTATTCCATTCATAAGTCAGTTGTTTTTGTAACTATTTTTATTAAAAGCAAAAGAAATTGGAACGTCCGTAGATAATAAACCAATTATTTGATATATAGCTCACATATAGACATTCTCACAACTGTATGTATTTGAGAAGGAAAACCAACTCTTTTAAATGCGTAAAAAGTTAAAATCGTGCCATTCCAACTCTTGAATACCCTGTACTTAACTTTTCCCCTCCGACAGCCTTTGAACTAGAATTAACTTTGTTTCCATGGCAGAAACGAAATTGAATTTTAATGAGAGTTGGATCGAAAAATAAACCTAAATTCCAACTTAAGTCCGATTCAAAGCAAAAACATTATCAACAAATCAATAGTTGTTTCCTGCTTTTAATTCAAAAAGGGTGTTGCACTCGCATCTTCATTCTAATTACAAATAGGAAATAGGCGTCTATCTGGAACCACACACAGCACTCTGGCCACGCCCATCCACTCGTTATATCGAGTCACTGCCTTTGATTCCATGTTCACACAAACATTAACACACCTTTCACCTGTAATTAGCGTTTAACGATGTGATTTGCTGGCGTTTTATCAGCGATTCACAGGCGATTTGGAGAAGGCACGTGCCAGATCCTAAGACCCAAACGCAAACGAGTCCCATATATGCGCGGGTATATCTAGGTGGGCGGTAGGCTTATGGGCGTGTTCAATTGACGCTTTAATTAATGTCTAAAGCTGAATTAAGTTGCATGTTCGACACAAATTATCGAACGGCAACAGAGCGAATGGTGCCTGCTTTAGCGCCCTTGTCATGAACAATAAATGCACATAACATTATATAGTATACTATATCTATACAAGTATATACATAGGTATGTTTCTGAAGGTTGTTGGCATGTATGTATGTATGATTCTACAATTTGTTGTTGTATTTCATTTCGCGCTGTACTTTCAATTTTGTAACAAATACAATAGTTGGGCAAAAAGCGCAACCAAAACAAAGCCGACTCGGCTCAAGCTCAAGGCCAGGCCTTGAAGTAGACCGCGCCTAACCCAACAAAATGAATTGCTTTTCAATAATTACTGAACAGACAGTATGTACTATATGTCCTACTTTTTATAACAAGCCACCATATAATGCGAACCCTCCTCAATTATTTCAAAGCAAAAATAGCATTGCACATTTTTCAATATCATGAAATGGCTAGAAGGAGGACCACAGAATTAAAAAAGTTGGAAAATACTATAAACCAAAGCTGCTGCAACCAATTGGGGCATGAAGACAGGTCGTGTTTATGGAATGTTCTGGAAAAGCTTAACGTACATCTATAAATTAAAATTAAATAAAGTATGTTGCATGAGAGCTTCAAGAACTACAATTATCCTATTTGTTCCATTCAATTACAAACTCTGAATGATATTCATGCACTCGCGTGTACTTTTCAAACTGAAAAAAGGTTCAAATGCATTACAAATAGATTCCAACTTTGTTAATACGATTGTTCTAATTGGTGTATCGATCTGGAAAAAAGGAAACAGAATCGGATCCAGCTCTGCTTTAGAGACATCAATAGTTTTACACTAGCGATCGTTAACTGTATTTCCTTAATAGTTTAGATGCCCCGTCGAAATGTTTTCATGCCCTCACTGATATTCCCTGCAATTATCAGTTCAATGTACGCATACATGGGTCCCTGTAAGCCGCACACCTCTCCGCCCTAATGCGCTCGAAACGATGCAAAGCAAACATCAACAAAACTACATACTTATATACGAAAATATATGTATGTATGTATTTAATGCGATTGTAAAAACAAAAGCCTAGACGGCAGAATGTTTCCAATTGGCGCATTCAGTACATTTTGTGTGCCGCGACGTTTCGGTCAAAGTGAAAAAGTGACAGACAGGAGTACTGCGTCTGTGGAGAGAACACTAGCAACTAAAAATCAATTAAACTAATACATAAGTACACATATATACAAACGTCTCAGTAGCTAGTTGAAAAATTCTCGTATATACACTTAGAAGTACAATATGTACGTCGTTTTGCGCAGCTCCTACAGAACCTTTGGACGGGTCCAGTCTCTGTGAGTCTATGGTGCTAAGTATTGTTTATTAAAAAAAGGGGGCACGATTCGCATTATCGCTTATCAGCAGCCACACATATAGCAGCGGATCATGTTTTTGTCAAAACCCAATACCATCCATCCATCACCTGTTTAGCATGTGTGTGTTCCACAAATGCCAATCTATGAGATGTCTGCGACCCTTGTCTGTCTGCCCTGTCTGGCAAAAAACAGCTCATTTAAGATATTTCCTGCTGCAACGACTTCTCAGATCCGCTATATACTCGTATACTTGAACACACACTAAGTACATTTGAAAGTCAAAAAACAGCGTCAACATAGCACAGATTTATTAGTTAGTTATGTCACTTAAATCCGACAGACTTTTCAAACACCTACCTAATGTATCTACAAATGTATTGCAGCATATTCTAATATATCTCATTGGCATAGAAAATAAGTAGAAATAATGGTAAATATCGAAATACCATATTAGCTAAATACTCTCATTTTATGTAAGCATCAAGAACTTTGAATAAGAACTTCAAAATACCTTAAAAATAAAGATCGACCACTCTTTGTCTAAAATGTAATATTTTCTACGCACAGATCATCATCTGGAACCGGAAGGTTTTCAATAAAGCCCTTTTTCAATATCATATCGCTATGATAGCTACCTACTATCATCAATTCCAGTTTTAATAAAAAAAAGAATACTCTTTTAAGTTTTTTCAGTACTCCAATATTTTGAAACAGAATTAAAGGTTCCAATATTATATATTGATTAAGATTTTCATCTCAATTAGAAACTAATAACATATTCTTTAAAAAAAGTTATGGTAACAAGGTTTTCTGGAATACCTGGCCATAAAATAGGTCATCATTAGAAATGTTGTTGCAGCGTAAAATATAGCCAAATTTCCTATTTGGCAGACAAAAATTGTCTTTGATCTGAAATGAAGTTTAATTTTTTTATGTATGTACAAATATTGTGAGGCTTGGTTTCTAATCTCTTGAGCCTATTCAACCTATGTAGCATATAATACCAACTGCTCCAGAGATATTTGTATCTGGTATTGTGAATTCTTAAACTTGTACCTATTCAAGTGTTCTGCGGTGTAGATTCATTATACAATTGCCATTAGTTTCCCGCAAACACATGCCTACGCAAATAGTTGATGTGCCACAAACACTCTCTAATGACTTAGCACTACTCTCTCTTTCCACTTTTTCACGCTCTTTCTCATCTTTCCACCTCCCATGCTCTTTCCATTGACAGCACGCCGGTGTATCCAACGGCAAATAACTCATACAACCCTTCCAATGGCCAAGTATCCCCATATCATCACCATCATCAGAAGCAGCAGCTGCACGAACAACAACAACAGCAACATCATCATGAGTACTACAAAACCACAATACCAATTGGTCATACCGTTGGCAACGCCACCAGCTGTCAGTGTGAAACAGCTGATTTGAGCTCGAATAGCGTCCATACCAACAACAACAACAACCACCATGCAAAACCCACACCTACACACATGCTCACCCATACACACACAAGCACGCACTGTAGCTGTACGCCGACGCCGGCGCAAAAATGGCGCAGTAGTCGTTTGTGTAAAAATCATACGAGCGCAACAACAACAACAACGACGACGACTACTACGACACTCGAATACGAGCTTTCCAATTTTGCAAAACTAACAACACAAATCAGTACGCAACGCGACGTCGACGAGGCGACAGCAAGCGAGGCGAGCGAACGAGAATCAGAAATAATTGGTTCCACGGTAGCAACTACAGCAACAACGACATCGGACTCAAGCGAGCAAATTGTTTTGCCACCACTTTTATCCTCGCACGAATTTCAAGAACTACAGAAAAGCCTTCAGGCTCTTCACCATCAGTCCAACTACACCCAACAACAGCGCAACTACTCCACCATGAGCAAGGCCGTGTCCATAGATCAGTACGCACCACGCGATCGCCTTGGCATTTGGGGTCCTGGCGACAACGAAATCGTTGGCAGCATTTCGGGCCTGGAGCGTTTAAGGAACAAGCGCTACAACAAGGTGAGTGTCCCCTTACAATCCTCCTAGAGTAAATCCCATCAGTATTTGAAGAGTGGAAAATTACCGTCGCACAAAAATTGCCGCGATGGGGTGGGTTTCTAGCCTTGGCTTTGTTCGATGTAGGATGTGCCCGGCAACTTGTTTGGGCAACAGTAGCGGCACAAATTGTGTGCCCAGCTGGAATATTTTTTGAGGTAGTCGAAAGAATTTCGGTCGCCCTTTGGCCAGATTAGCCACGTCCGTGTCTATTTTCGTTCCAATGTGCTTGACATTTCTCAACTGCCACTAAAAGAACGCACTCATAAATAAATAAATAATAATTAAGGAAATTTAAAAAACGGCAGCTGCCACACAATTTGGAAATGTTTTTTGGCAGCATGTCTCGCTTTCATTGGCTTGCTTGCGTCGCTTTGGCTTGACCTTTAGATGACATAGCCACTCGGAACACACGCGCCAGTCACACAATCAGTCTGGAAGCCCAATACTTTGATATTTATTTGTTGCTGACGATGTTAGCATAGAAAATCGATAGCGTTTATTATTATTATTATTTGTGGGCTTCCATCAAATTGACCAATTAACTTCTGACTACACTGTGCAACAAGATACAACAAACATGTGTATACTAACTAGTCTGCTGTTCTCACTATCAAAATTTCCATAGAGAAATATAAGCACCTGTATTAGTGCCTGGCAACAAGCAGTTTGTAAAGACAAAAGAACGATTTATTTTGTGTTTTACAAACTATTTTTTCAGATCAAATCGAAAAACTATAACATACAACCTCCTTTTGTTGAGGACCCAGCTCAATGATTTTACCATCTTGATAGAATAATCGCAAGACACTTTGCCAAGCTCTGCACTTTCGATTTAGTTTAAAGTCCAAATAGTTGCCAGTTTTTTAAAACCGTCTGGCAGTGTTGTAAACCTCCTTTACAATTTCTAATTGAATCAAACACCCCAGAATGACAATGCAATTCAAGTTCATTGCCAATTTGCAGATGCTGCTGTCTGTGCCTTCTTCTTTTCTACAAACTTTCCGCTACCTATCGAGTGTGCGGTTAATAAGTGTGTAGTTTGTGAGAGCGTAGGCGAGAGAGAAAAATATAGTGAGAGGGAGAGAATAGAATAGAGCGAACACGGGGAGTGCGCATGATTGCTACTTTTTTTTTTTGCTACGGCTTCGTCACAACAAAAACAGTATGGCTTTTGCATTTTACATGAGCATTTAAAAATTTTCGAGGCATTCCGACCGTTAATGAATGATTCAATGAATTCTGTATAAAATGGAAAGTCAATAGTATTCTGAAAAAGATTCATTAAATTTCTTTTCACATTATCTGCAGCTCTTAGTAAATTATTCAAAACTATCCTGCAAACATTTTAAACATACATACTTGTACTTCAATTTCCTAGTGGTTAAATGTTCGTGTGCCTCCCTTTTTATTGCCTCCACTTGGCCCTCTATAAAGGGCATTTGTGTGGGCGGCTTACAGCATCGCCTCAGAAGTGCATTGAAAGTTCCCGTTCCCATTTCCAATTCATTGCTCTCTCCCTCTCTATTCACAACATTCTCGCTTGCTCTCCATTTCTGCTTCATTGGCTCAAGAACAGCTGATGCCTGCTCAGGCCACTCGCACAGAAGAGTGCACGCGAATGCAATCGGCAGTGTGTAAACATTGTTTACATTTACAGCAATTTCTTTTCATAGAATATCAAAATAGCAGACACTTGACAGACAGTCGCGTCCGATGAACAATGGAAAATTTAAGGCCCTTTATCGCGTGGTAACCGCAATTTTTCCACTCCAGGCTGATTCCGAATGTAATTATAAGTAACGCGAGAACTGACCTACACTAAAACACTCCCTGGGCTTTGTTGTGGTAAAGCAAACAGCGTGATTTCTTGCGGAAAGTGATAATAGGCGGTGCTTGTGGTTGGGGCATTATCAGTGGCCCGAAATAAATACAACAGTATAAGCAGCAAAGATAATGCTAATTAAAACCAGAACAACATGTATCGGCTGTTTTTTGTACTATTTGACCGTGGTATAGTCAAGTGCCTTGTCAAATACCCTCTACTGTTGAGCGTGATATGGCCAAGTGCCTTATGAAATGCCCTCTACTGTCTATTACTGTGCAGCTTTTCCATTAGTGATTTATTCCAATTGGAACTGCTTGAAATATATAAATATAATTTATTTATTTATTCCATATAGAGGCAATATAGAAATATTTTCCTTAACATTTCTGAAATGCAACGAATCCAATAGAAATGGTCTTCTTTTTCAACAAATCCTTAAAGTCCTCCCACCTTTCTTTTCAGAGCTATGGGAAATAGCAAAATGTTTTGCATTTTCAATATATATTTTTTAAAAGTTGTTTAAAAGTTTGAAAGCTTTGTTTTTTATCTTCACAGTTAGCATGATGAATAACTTAAGCTGGGGCCAGACAGACTAGTAATTTGCACAAAAATTTGGCACACAAATTAGTAGTGCTTTGTTAAATAAAACTTTATTTGTTTAAACAACATTATATTCATGATATACTCGTGCAATTCTAAAAATAATCTCCAATTATTTGCATGTCTGGCCAAAGCTTTAGTTGTTAACTAATAACAGCATTTTGAATTTGTGGCATCTGAACATTAAACACATTATTAAAAGAAACTAGTGGTCAACACTTGAACTTTGTGCCCATAATGGACGCCCTCTGTCCCACTTTTGGCGCTACCTTGAGACAATGCAGCCCCTACTGACCCACAAAGGCAAGACGCTAAACAAAAGAGCGGCAACAATTTGTGCATAATTGTTGTGTCTGTGCATCCGTTTGGACTGGGACTGCGGATTGCTGATTAAGGTGCTTTCATCATCTGACAACTGATTGCTCTGCCGACACATTATCTCTTCGCCATTAGCCAGTAGGTCGGGCAAGACACATCAGCTGAGCTGAGCTGAGCTGATTTATTAATGTTTTGGTTTCTGTTTTCTGTTTTTTGTTTGCTCGTTTCTTTCTTTCTCTGCCTCTTTGCATGCAATTTTGTCGTTGAAATTTATGCGTAATCGCTTATTACGTATACGCCATGGAGTGTAACAGATTTTGTGAGCTTGTGTTGAAAGCCAAAGCGAAATGCCAGACAGGGGGGGAGGTCAGATTGTTGCCAAGTTCGAGTGAAGTGCCGTACGCATTCGCACGCTTATCGGGCATGCCGGCACTCCGGCACTTTCAATGTCAATGGTGTCGTTTCCACAATCAGTCTATACCTCCACATATAGTATACTATATATTTGGAATGTATTTCACCAGCATCGATGACGTAGCGCAAAGGTGCGATGGCTTTCATTATCGCCAGCGGTCTCTAAACACAATTCCATCCATCGACAATTTATCAATTAACAGCTCATAAAACTACAAGTATATAAGCTGGCAGCGAACGGAGCGGCATGCACGTAAAATTTATTCCTAAATGTTTTCAATTATTCCGGGTTCAGTTTATTTAGTCTGTTTGGGGGCAGTTCCCCAGGTCGGGGCACACGCACACATCGCATGACAAGCTCAACAAATACCATGATTAGATTAAATTTGAATGCTCCAGTTGTTGTTCCGGTGCGTTGCATTATGGAGCATGTTTGTCCAGTCGGGAGAGAAATTACTCCAGAAATTGCTCGTCAGTTAGCACTTTGTGATGAAATTGTTTGCATTTTCAGCATGACTGCGCATTTTGTGAACTTATCGCTAGGGCTTTACCCGCAGCGAGCGGTGCGTTCCGTTTTTAATTGTGACGCATAAACACCTTTGGGAAATCAAACATACATATGTATATCCAACTCTGCATGACGGCGATATAAATCATGAATTAAGATGTAAATATCTACAATAATATGATGATGTGGCGATTATTTGGGGAATTTTGTTTTGTATTTTTTTGTCATTTCAAGAACTACAAGTATAAATCGAAGACAAATTATGTTCAAGAGGGTATATATTAACAATCACAAACGCCGCTTAAAATGATTAATAAATACAAATTCCTATTTGCAAATTATAATAAGATATAAATAACAAATGTTTGTATAAAAGGAAAGCCTCAATGCAATATTACCTACATAGGTGATTTCAAGATTAGTTTTGAAAAAAGTTAGAAATATGAAGACTTTCTTCTTCTTAAATGCCTTTACAAATTAGTACTATTGAAAAGATTTGCTTTCAACACCTTTTAAGTGATAGATTAATTTTGATTAATTTCTTAGTGGAGTCTCTTTCCTGTGCCTTTTGAAATATATAGTGTTCAATGAACTACCCCTACAATCTTTATTGACTGTTAGCTTTCTTTTCTATCTATGGGTGCTTCTTCTTCTTCGTTTCTGGAATGTTTTCTCCCATAAGTATTGGGGCCTAAAAATATTCAATTTTGAGTAACGGTAACCAGTTTTCGAAAGTTCTTATTCTTATGCCTTTACAGCAAATCTGTACAATTATCTTCAAATCTCTTGCATTAGGAAACAATTCTACAAACAAATCTCATCAGTTCTTTCCAGTAGCAAAAACCGCATTCCGATTAGGTCCCGGTTAAACAATAGTCTCATCTTGAAACTCGCACATATATGGTCAGCACTTTAGCATAATTAAGCATATTGTAAGATTAAGAATAGAACCGGGTAATACTACTTTATTATGAGCGTCCCTAGTTAGTCTTTGTGCGGTCACGATTTGTTGTCAATTATTAACAAAAAATATTCTAATCGTACCACCAACTGTGCATATTTACGTGTAGTTAATGACTAATTCCGCATAGATGATGTAATAAGCCCGCATTCAGGCCAGGTGCACGTATTAGCCGCATGAACTGCCATGCCAGAAACAGGAATCGTCAGTCGCGATATCTCTTCATAGCCAGCGAACAGTTTTTGGTAGGGAGTAAGCAATTAGTTGAATTAATGAATTGCGAAAAAGGTTTAATTTGATTCTCACACCCAGTACTAGACCATACACCATACTCCCATTAAAGAAAGCTCAAATTTGACCTTCTAACTTAGCTTGCAACACGAGAAATGTGCCAACTAAATGTACATTTCAAAATATCTGTAATAATTGCACAAAAAATGATCGCCTAGGCTCAGCAATTGGCGCTGTAACGAGGCCAGCGCTGACTCATGGAGCTTACTTTCAAAAAATGAAATGCCTGCCACACGCGTATAGAAAAGACGTCAACGCATTTGAATACCGGTTTGCACTTGGGCTTCGAATGGGCTGCTTGACGCATTATTCGCACACCAACTTACAAGTGTTTGCTCTGACTTTGAACTTGAAACGTTGGGACGACTGCGACTTGGGCAAACAATAATCTCAGTTCTCAGTCGAGTCTGGAGGCGTGTGCCGCGAGCGAGCGAGCGGCAATTAAATGTAGCAAAGGTCAGAAACAGCCACCAATCACGCCAGTCGTGAAGCCGCTGATAGCTGAGAGAAGCACGCGCCTGCTCACGCGTTAGTTTAATGCGATGATACATATGATAATGATATGTGGGCCATAGGAGTGTGTGACAACGATGTCGTCGCAGGTCAGACAGAACAAAAACATTTCCACGTGTAAATAGGTGGAGATAACCAATGCAATGAAAATGATTTCTGCTTTCCTTCCCACCTTCTAAGTAGTAGAACATATTTTTTAATTGAACACACTCTTCAATTTTGAAGAGGCTTTCAATGGTCAGCTCATCTATGTTCTATGAGCACACTTCCTAAGTCCCTAAGTTCATATAATATTTTCGGAATTGTCGTACAAATTGACAATTGTTTTCCTACTTTCTAGGGTCTCGCCTTCACGCATGCGGAACGCCAGCAATTGGGCATTCACGGGCTGTTGCCGTACGTAGTGCGCACCGATGAGGAGCAACTGGCGCATGCCCGCGCCCTGCTGGACCGCCTGGAAACCGATCTGAACAAGTACATGTACCTGATTAGTCTGTCGGAGCGGAATGAGCGCTTGTTCTTCAAGCTGCTGGCATCGGACATCGCCCACATGATGCCGCTCGTCTACACGCCCACTGTGGGTCTGGCGTGCCAGAAGTTCAGTCTGATCTTCCAGCGTCCAAAGGGCATGTACATCACCATCAAGGACAAGGGCCACGTGTACAATGTGCTGAAAAACTGGCCGGAAATGGATGTGCGCGCCATTGTCGTGACAGACGGCGAGCGCATTTTGGGATTGGGCGATCTGGGCGCCAATGGCATGGGCATCCCTGTGGGCAAGTTGGCCCTATACACTGCCCTGGCCGGCATCAAGCCAAGCCAGTGCCTGCCCATCACACTGGATGTGGGAACGAATACACAGTCTCTGTTGGACGATCCCCTCTACATAGGGCTGCGCCAGAAACGCCCCGTTGGCGAGCTCTACGACGAATTCATCGACGAATTCATGCGCGCATGCGTGTCGCGCTTTGGCCAGAACTGTCTCATTCAGTTCGAGGATTTTGCCAACGCGAACGCTTTCAAGCTGTTGGCCAAATACCGCAACGATTACTGCACATTCAACGATGATATCCAGGGAACTGCCTCGGTGGCCGTCGGCGGATTGTTGGCTTCGCTAAAGATCAAGAAGACGCAGCTGAAGGACAACGTACTGCTGTTCCTGGGCGCAGGCGAGGCTGCTCTGGGCATTGCCAATTTGTGCGTTATGGCCATGAAGGCCGAGGGCCTAAGCGATGACGAGGCCAAATCCCGCATCTGGATGGTGGACAGGTAAATAGTTCATTTGTTGTGTTGAAGCGAAACTTGACTCAATCGTCAATTTGTTTACAGCAAGGGCGTCATCGTGCGTGACCGTCCAAAGGGTGGCTTAACGGAGCACAAATTGCAATTCGCTCAGGCCCACGACCCCATCGATACCCTGGAGCAGGCCGTGCGTCGTGTGCGTCCCAACGTTCTGATCGGAGCTGCCGCCCAGGGCGGAGCCTTCAATAAGGAGATTCTGGAGCTGATGGCTGAGATCAATGAGACGCCCATCATCTTCGCCCTGTCGAACCCCACCAGCAAGGCCGAGTGCACAGCCGAGGAAGCGTACACGCACACACAGGGCAGATGTATTTTCGCCTCGGGCTCCCCCTTCCCGCCCGTCACCTACAATGGCCGCAAGTTCTACCCTGGCCAGGGCAACAACTCTTACATATTCCCTGGTGTCGCTCTGGGAGTTCTCTGCGCCGGCATGCTGACCATACCCGAGGAGGTATTCCTCGTAGCCGCCGAGCGTCTGGCCGAGCTGGTGTCCAAGGAGGATCTCAACAAGGGCAGTCTGTACCCACCTCTGACCTCGATTGTCAACTGTTCGATTGCTATTGCCGAGAAGGTGTTGGAGTATGCCTACAAAAATGGTCTGGCCACTGTTCGTCCCGAGCCCGCTAACAAGGTGGCGTTCATTAAGACGCAAATGTACGATCTCGACTATCCCGGGGCTGTGCCCAAGACCTATACCGTGTAAATGAGCAGCTGCAGGATTCATGGTTCCTCTCTGGAACTATTTTTGCCGTCGTCCTTTTTGTCACCCGTCGTCGTAGTAGTTGTCTATCATCACAGCGTTCGCCCATTCCATTCAACGTTCTCTTCAAATGCCTTTACGTATCTCTGGTATCCACAAATATTCGGCGATATTCCACGGGCACTGGCGGCACCTCGTATGTTATTTAATTTATAGCGTCGCACATCTCTGTAGCATATAGCAAGATTTTCAGATCAACCCATGCACCAAACCCCCCTCTATATGTTCGCTGCCCCAAGCTCACCAAAATCTTTGATAATCGTTTCTTAACTTTGCTAATTGGACCGACAATTTTTACGATGTTGATATGTAAATGGGATATTAATATACTTACTAGCAGATATATCTATATATGGAAAATCTATGTGAACTTCTACACAAACTAATCTAAGTACTGTGTATAAAATAAAGAATATGAAATAAAATTACCAAACCTATGAGAGCCCATCTTATTTATGTCTCAACTAACGATCACCGTTGTTTCTATAATTGTTTCAAAAATGCTTCCTTGAAGCTAATTTTGAAACACCTCCATCGGCGGTATTTTCTAAAAATACGATTCTATTTCATATAAAAAGTGAAAAGATTTGTATGCATAGATTTCAGCCTGACCTGCCTCAGGTTTTTCTCGCATTATTGACACACATTTCCATCGCATCAGTGGTGTGGCGTTCCAACCAGTTAGAATCAGTTCCGTTGAACTAAGCAGTGAATATAAATTTATATTGATTTATTATCCTATTTGCTGCTAGTCCCAACGACCGGATCTTTTACTGCAACTAGTTTCTTTAGTCCCTCTAGTAAGTTATTTCGAACAGTGGAAAAATTTTATGAAATCAATGAAGACTTCTCCCACGAAGTGGTACAAAGAAACAGTTATTTTCTTTTCTGAAAAAATATATTTAATTTTGAAAAGCTCTTTAGTTGCCAAATAAACAAAAGAATTGAAAAAAAAAATGCAAATATATTTAAAAAACATTGAAAAACACAAGAAAAGGGTAAATAAATAAAGGAACTATTGATCGAACTAAAGAAATTAAAAGAACTAAATTCCCTAATTATATTTCCCAACTCTACTACAGTAATAAACGCAGTCCTGGTTAGCAAACAAAACCAAAGTAGTCTGAAATTCAAATGCACAGCTAATTATTTAAATTAAAATATATTTTAACATTTCTACTGTTTAAGTAGAAAAAAGTGGATTTTAATGCAAAGTAGTTCAAATGTTTTCAAGCATTTGTATAATGCTCCAGTGTGAACAAACTATTTCTAATCAATGAAACAATTTGAAATGTATTTTTTTCCACTCCATTTCTAGTTCTATCAACCAAAGTATGGTCCAATTTATTGTGACATTTACTTTAAGGGCTTTTTTTTGAGACTTCCACATTATTTGTGCAATTTTCTAAATGGTTGGTCGTTAAGTCAATTGTCTTATATTTGTAATATATTGTAATATAACTTATTAAATCAGTAATGAATACTGGTTTAGTTTACGACTCATAAATGAAAGGTAAAACTAACGCAACAATTTAAAATACCGGCATAATTTCAACGACTCGCTGGAGTTGCCAGATAACAACATCTTGATTGTGCTCTTAAAGAGTGGCAACGCCTGTCGCACTACAAACATGCCACCATCTCTAGCAGCCATCAGCTGTTGTCCTGCGCAAAACTACGCACAGCTTCTGTGAAAATTGCAGTGGAATTTGTGTTTGCTTGGGAGAAAAGGAGTACCATTAACAGAATTAAGGCGCATTTGGGGAGCAAATGCAAGGAAAATGGGCAACCAATTGGTCGGCATTGCACCGTCGCAAATTCATGCGGTGGAACACTACTTTTCTGGCCAATTTGGCAGCGAAATCATCTTCGAGTCGAAGTGAGTATAGAGAGAGGATTACGCCTTTTTCTATGTACATATATATGTACATAGATATGTATATATACATATATATTCATACGCCCTTTTTTCCTTGATATATGTGTGTATGCAATTAACACCAGTATGGGCAGCACGCGCTTCTTCAAAGTAGCCAAAGCCCGAACGCTCGAGGGCCTGATAGTTGTCAAAGTATTCGTGAAACATGATCCAACGCTGCCGCTCGAGGATCACAAGGAGAGACTGGAGTATATTAAGAAGACACTGGCGAATGCTGTCAACTGTTTGCCCTTCCAAAGGGTTGAGGTCGGTCTGGGTTGTTGCTTGGTATACACACAATTTTGAAAATGTTGCTCACTCCCACGCCTACTCCACATCCACAGCTCATTGACAAGGCGGCGTATATAATGCGGGAATTCGTGAAGCACAGCCTGTACGATCGCGTCTCCACACGGCCCTTCCTGACGGTCCTCGAGAAAAAGTGGATCACATTCCAGATACTGTGTGCGCTGAATCAATGCCACAAGCAAAAAATTTGTCACGGCGACATCAAGTTGGAAAACATTCTGATCACCTCGTGGAATTGGATTCTGCTGTCGGACTTTGCCTCGTACAAGCCCACATACTTGCCGGAGGACAATCCGGCCGATTACACGTACTTCTTCGATACGAGTCGACGACGCACGTGCTACATTGCGCCGGAACGTTTTGTCAAGTCGCTCTCGTCGGAGGACGATGGCAACGTCTCCATGGTGCCCAACGATTCAATCATACGCCTGGCGCCCACATACACCGGAAACACCTTATTGCCAGCCATGGACATATTTTCAGCGGGGTAACCGATTTCCTCACCATTTAGTTCGCATTTGTTTGATTAGCACCGCTTTCTTGCAGCTGCGCCTTGCTTGAGCTCTGGACCGAGGGCACAGCGCCCTTCGAGCTGTCTCAACTGCTTGCCTACCGTAGTGGAGAGCGCGAGTTGGTGGAGAAACACTTGCAGGGCATTGAAAACGAGCGTCTGCGCAACCTGCTGGCCTCCATGATAGACGTTAATTCGATGAATCGCAAGAGCGCCGAGGACTACCTGGATCAGGAGCGTGGCAAACTGTTTCCCGAGTATTTTTACTCATTTCTGCAGTTGTATCTGCAAATGTTCTCATCGATGCCCATCATGACACCGGATGACAAGATACAGCACCTCCACAAGGACATATCCCACTGCATCAAGGTGCTGACACAGGCGCAGGATCTGACCCCCGACGACCAGGAGAACGAGTACAGCGCAGAGCAGGAGAAGCAGGATGCGACGCCTTGTGCGCGACTCCCGCCCGAACAGGATGGACTTATACTTATCATCACGGTAGTCACCTCCTGCATTAGAGGCCTCAAACAGTCAACATCCAAAATTGCCGCATTGGAGCTGTTGCAGAAGCTGTCGAAGTACACCACGTCTGAGACAATACTGGACCGCATATTACCTTATATTGTAAGTATATAGCATGCTCGAAGAAAAGCCCTACACTACAAGTATTTCTAAAAATGTAGAATTGCTATGGAAATGCAATCCTCAACGGCCAATCTTTGCTGATTGCAGAGTTCGATTTAAAAATTAAGAATTATTATTTCTAAACCAATTGCTAGTTCCCTGATTTGTAATTCGTACACGTTCTTCATGCAATCCTCAACGTCCAATCTTTGCTGAACCAACAGAGTTCGATTTAAAATTAACAGAATTATTAACTCTAAGCCAAATGGTAGTTCTATGATTTCTAATCTTTGCTGAACCAACAGAGTTCGATTTAAAGTTAAAAGAATTATTATCTCTAAACCAATTGCTAGTTCCCTGATTTCTAATCTTTGCTGAACCAACAGAGTTCGATTTAAAGTGAAAAGAATTATTAACTCTTAACCAATTGCCAGTTCCCTGATTTCAAATCTTTGCTGAACCAACAGAGTTCGATTTAAAATTAACAGAATTATTAACTCTTAACCAATTGCTAGTTCCCTGATTTCTAATTCGTACACGTTCTTCATTTGAAGCTGCATTTGGCGCAAACGCCGACCACAAATATGCAGGTGCAGGTGCAAGTGCAGGCCATCGACACACTGACTGCCTGCCTCAGCATGGTCAAGGACATACCACTTAGCGATGCGAATGTATTTCCCGAATACATACTGCCCTCCATAGCCGATCTGTCCAGCGAGCAGAGTGCGGTGATTGTGCGCGTAGCCTTTGCCAAGAATATTGCCGCATTGGCCAAAATAGCAGTTTACTTCCTGGAAGAAACGCAGCGCAACGCGCCCAACGACATGCCCATGCAGCGCTACGAAGCTGAGCTGAACGCTCTGCACGACATTGTGCGCCAAGCCGTGCTCAGTCTGCTGACGGACTCCAAGCCCATTGTGAAGCAGACGTTGATGGAGTCGGGCATCTGCGACTTGTGCGCCTTTTTTGGCAAGGAGAAGGCCAACGATGTTATACTTTCCCACATCATGACATTCCTCAACGACGACGATAAGAACCTGCGTGGCGCCTTCTACGATAATATTGCCGGTGTCGCCGGCTACGTGGGCTGGCAGGCGTCGGACATATTGGTGCCGCTGCTGCTGCAGGGCTTCACCGATCGCGAAGAGTTCGTCATTGGCAAGGCCATACGTGCCGTCACCACTCTCATCGAACTGGGCCACATCAAGAAGCCCACAGTGACGGAAATTGTCAAGGAGACCGCCTGCTTTTTGTGTCATCCGAATTTGTGGGTTCGTCACGAGATTTGCGGCATGATTGCGACCACAGCGCGCACTCTCAGCGCCATCGATGTGCAGTGCAAGATTATGCCGGCGATTGGTCGTTTTCTGAAGGCGCCGCTCATCCAGGTGGAGAAGCCGCACATTCTCCTCGACTGTGTGCAGCCGCCTATACCGCGTCAGGTGTTCGATAGCGTGCTGCGATTTCAGGACATCAATCGGTTTGTGGCCGCTCTCGAGGAGCGCAACAGAGTGCGCTCCAAGACACGCGCGGGCGCCGTGCCACAATACGAGGAAATGGGCCAGACTTTGCTGAACGTAAGTGCTTTGGTAATTTAAGTCGGTCTTTGTGCCACTCACATTTCCAAAACACTACAGCTCTTCCGACGCCTCAGCTCCGAGGGCTTGACGGACGCTGTCGAGCTGCAACTGCTGGCCATGAAACCCTTCCTCATCACGCTGAAGCACAAGGCCCAGCAGTATGCGGACGAGGCGACCACAGGCAATGGTCGAATTATCATCAGACGCAAGGAGGCCTGCCACGAGTATCCGCTGGCGGATAAGACCAACAAATTGCCGATCGAGACACGTAAGTGCTTGGAATAATAATTATTTTATCTCTTTGGGTAAATCAACTAAGAACTTCTGCTCTCGTCCTTGCAGGTCAAAGCGATGGCCACTTGCCCGCCTTAGTCTCGCCAGCCTCGGATGTGGCTGTAACGCCAATTGGTGGCGGCGGGCTGGCGGGTAGTCCTGCCTCCGGGGTGATGGTGCTCGGAGTACCTCAAACCACCGTGAGCGCGGCCACATCGCTGGGCGAGTACACGCTGCCGGAGCGCAATTATTTGCTCGAGCGCGCCTCGGAGTGTCGCAAGGATCTGGAGTCACTGCGCCTGAAGATCAAGAGTCGCTACAATGTGTTGGCGCTCTCGCAGCGTTGCAGCTATGACAAGCTGAGCTCGCCCTACCCGAGCAATTGGCGGCTCAACGGCACCCTAGTAGCACATTTGCACGAGCATTCCGAATCTGTGATCAAGTTGGCGCCTCTGCGACCGCATGGCTCGCTCTTTGCGAGCGGCAGCATCGATGGAACTGTTCGCCTGTGGGACTGCAGCAAGCTGAACGGCAACCAGGGCATCAACAAGTCCCGCCAAGTGTACTCAACCAACACGCCCATCTATTCAATCGCCGCCTGCGATGGCGGCCAGTCCTTGGCCGTTGGTGGCAAGGACGGCAGTCTGCTGATGATGCGCATCGATCGCAACTCCACCAAGATGACTTTACAGCACGCCCGGGACCAGACGTAAGTGATTCAACTGCTTGAACTGATCGTTCTAGGATGAGAAGGGCATTCTCTGTAGGACTTAAGTAATATTCTGCCCTTGCAGCGAGCACAACGACGGACCCATTGTGGATATGCACGCCTATGACCAGGCGGCGCCGAGTGTGATTGTCTATGCCACGCTGTATGGCGGCATTGTGGCTTGGGACACGCGGATGCAGCACAGCGCTTGGAGGCTGCAGAACGAGCTGCGTCATGGTGTCATCACTACCATTTGTGCCGATCCCACGGGATCCTGGCTGGCCACAGGCACCAGTGGAGGCAAACACATCTGCTGGGATCTGCGCTTTCGTCTGCCCATTGCCGAGATCAAGCATCCGGCGGACTCGTGGATTCGCAAGGTGGCCTGCCATCCCACAGAGCCGTCCTATTTGATTTCAGCGTCGCAGTCGAACAACGAGGTCTCGGTGTGGAACATTGAGTCGGGCCAGCGGCAGGCGGTGCTGTGGGCCAGCTCTGCTCCCGTCCTGACCAATACAAGCCTCAATGATCCGGCCACCACCTGCGGCGTTCTCAGCGGCGTCGTCGATGGCTCGCCATTCATACTGACGGGCAGCTCGGATCAGCGCATCAGGTATTGGGACATAGCTTCGCCAAAAAACTCGGCCCTCAAAGTACCAGCTGCGAATGATAATCTACAGGAGGTTGCCTTCAGCTACAAGTAAGCTAACTCGCTAATGGCGTGAAGAATACGTTTTTAATTTAAATTTCAAATCCAGCGCGCGCCTTATTGATGGTAGCCAGGTAATTGAGGAGCAGATCATACCCCTAAACAATGCCGGAGATGCGCATCAAATGCGCTCATCGACGGAGGAGAATCCCAGATCAGGTCCGGACATGCCTACGGCCAGCCATCACGATGCCATCACAGACCTGCTCATGTGCAAGGACAAGGGACAGATCTATATAGCGTCAGCGTCCCGAGATGGCGTCATCAAGCTATGGAAATAGGCATCGACAAATGCATCTATATAAACCATTTTCCAACTGTGATTCTCGATTAAGCCGCCTTATGTGCAACGAGTGCTTAGACAAAGTGTTAATTATGTATGTCTAAAGTCTTGGAGGGTCTTCCAATTCTAAAGCTAGACACAATTGACCAAAGCTTGACAATTCTACAAATTGCAAGAATTATAAAATAATTCGAAAGTAGAGGCGATCGACCTCAAAAGAATTGACATGAGCATCCAACCATTGCAAAACATCAATCGAAAAATGATGATATATACTTATGTCCATATATGTATATACCTTTGTATGGTCTACCCTTTTAACCACTTTGAGAGACGGCTTCTGCAATAAAAATGTAGCACTCTAGTAATAGTAATTGTAAGAAAAATGTTCAAAGCAATGCCAACAGCATCCAACCATTGCTGAACATCAAACACAATTTTAAGAGATATGTCATGATCGGATCGCATTGGAAAGGAGAGAATGTTACTAGTATTTATCATCTATATATGCACATATGTATATTTTTGTATTGCGTCTATCCTTTACTCAATTATAGCCATTTGAAGATGTGGCTTCTACAATAAAAATAAAACACATTATAAACAAACGATGTAACTAGGAACTAACTCTTAGTGGCCTCGGCATCCTCCTCAGACTCGCTGCTGCTGCTGCTGGAGGGATAGAATTCCTTCAGGTCGCGCGGCTTATCGCGCTCCAACTGTTCCGCCTCCAGATATTCATTTTGTGCCTTTAGTATTTCCTCGCTGCTTTTGCAGGCCGCGTACTTGTTGAGCAGCTTTTCATTCAACTCGATGAAGGAGTGACCCCAGGAGAACTTGCCCATGTACCAGTGCGCCTCCGCCTGGAAGCCACATATGTATAGTGTGGCGGCAATAGCCTCCACACAGCTCAGCTTGCAGGGCTTGCCGTAATTGATGGGATTGGCGGCCACCAGAAAGGGCAACAGACGTGGGTGTGGACTGCGCATGCGGTTGAAAGGCGTCTCCTCCAACTTGGCCCACGAGCAATCTACGACGGCGACGCCCGAAGAGGCCACAATCTCACGATCCAAGGGACTCACGCAGTGGACGCCCACCGGTGTGAGCACGAGGCCGGGAAATTTCTGACCCAGACGCAAAATGCGTATCAGGTTCAGGCGCGCCAACTTCCGCCCCGAACACTTCTTCGGATCACAGTGGTTTAGGTCCCACATGGCGACCGTGAACTCCGGAGCCTGGCCATGTGCCTCGCCCTCCTGCTCAGAGGAATCGCTTCCATCGCTACTACTATCGCTTCCTTCCGTATCACTGTCCGCAATTGCCAGTTCGCTGGCACATTGTGCAAGGCTGCGTTCGCTATCGCGATTGGATTTAAAGTTCCGGGAATGGCCGGCACCTCCACCTCCGCGCTTGTACTTGCCCTTATTCCGAGCACTCATTTGGCTTCGAGTTTTGTTGTTTTAGGTTTCCTTAATAATAAATAGCAGTCGGAGGTTGCCACCTAATTACAAATGCCGCACCACGCTTTCAACTTGTAACAGTTGGCAGCTGAGAAAAGGCGTTAACTTTTCAAAGTATCGGGAATTTAAAGAAATTATAACGATTTATGCAGCCTATATACAAGTACATAGGAAATGATTCACCAGTTCCTCATTAGATTCTAATGTTGAAAAATCTCGTAAGCTAAACATAATGAGTGAAAAATAAAACGAAAATATATATTTCAGTAATCGTAATAGGCAAAAGAATAAACTGACGGAAATGGTTAAATGTATTGGTCAAATTGTTTCCAAAAATTATTATTTATTTGTATACCATTCTTAAAATACCAATATAAATAACATAAAGGTCGAACTAATTCAATTGAAACTAAACTTTTAATAGAATTCAGCCATAAGATCTAATCAGATGGCGAAGTTGGGTAAACATTTCGAGAGCTACGAGAGTTATAAAACAATTTTTCTAGCTTCAATATTGATGCGTCTTATCATACTAATCAAGAAAATATAAATGTCTCTCTTTCAACACAACAATTGCCCTACCTGGACTAACAGTCCATCACAAACCCATAAATTATAATAGCACCTATGTTTAACGCTGATAATGCAACATTTTACATTCTGCGTAAAATTTCAATGTTATCTATTGCAATCCTTTAAGATTAATAAATTAATTAATAAGTGTTGCCCGACTTAAAAAAAAATTAGGTATTTGTATGAGTTTCATTCATTCAAGCGTATGTACTTAGTCTATTGCCAGCCACAAATTTCCACCAAAAAGTATATGCCTTTAACATTTTGTGAAGTGTTTTAACACAATTTATTTAAATAAGTTGTGCTTAATGTGTCGAAGCAATGCTAACAACCGCAAGAGCGGCGCCACTGAATGCAACGGTCTGGCAGCTCCACCGTTTGTCTAGGCACACGACAACCCTACGCCGACGCTATCCGGATGCAGCTGCAGCTGGCGCTGTTTTTCAATTTTGTATCTTTGCAGCGACCGAGCAAAGCGGCCGAGCGCCATCAATCGCTGGTGAAAAGTGAGTTTGTGCCACTATTTGGCTTTCATATATTTAAAAAAAAAACAACAACATCTACAGAAAATGAGACTAGTTTAATTCGAACACAAACTAAACTGTGCAAATAAAAGAAAGAACGCGTTTAAGTTTATTTGTGACCAAGGCAAAGTACCAAAACAACAACAACCGAATAAAGCCGCAAACGCTCAAGCAGCAGGACAACGCGACGGTCGCAACAACAACAACAACAGCACACACAAACGCATTTCAAAATGGCGCCAACGAAAGGCAATTCTCGCACTGCTGTGACGGCGCAGGCCACGATGAACGCACTGCTGCCAGCGGCGGCTGCGGCCTCGCGTCGCAATCTGGCGCGTCGGGCTAATAACAATAAAGACGCCAATGCCGAGAATATGCAAGCTCGGGCGAAACGCAAGGCGGACAACAGCCCCATCAAGAATGAGAAGATCAAGCGCTCGGCGCTGGGGAACCTCACAAACAATGTTAAGATCATGACGCTGCATTCTGGCGAGGAGGATGCCAAGCAGCAGCTGCCCAAGAAGCCGACGGCACAGCAGTTGCAGGCCCTGCTGGATGCAAAGAATTTGGACAATCTAAACACAATTGCACCCACCGTGGTTGCACCCAACAAAATAATGACGCGCGCCTCGTTCAAGACTGAGGATTCTATGGAGAACTGTCACAAGATACTGGACAAGTTGGAGGAGGGGCTTGCGCGTCAAAAACGCAAGGTGCCACAAAAGAAGAAGCCCGTAGTGGGCGATATGTTGGCCGAACCGGCTCCTTTGGTTGTGCCTTCGCTATCGCTGCCGCTTCCTGCGATTCCGGCGATCCCAGCGCTGCCCAAAATGCCAGCGCCACTGCAGCCAGCAGCCAACAAGCCGGCGCGTCGCATTTCCAATGACTTCAACAAGACTGAGGAGAGTCTCTACATGTCCGCTCTGGAGGACATCTCCAATGAATCGGTACGCCTCTCGGGCAACTTTGAGGCAGCGCGTCGTCGCTCTGCCGCAGCGGTGCAGGCGCAGTTCCTGGTGACACCAAATGCTGTGGTGCGTTCCGTGCCCGCCGGAGTTGAGGACTTTGATCGTCAGAACTGGGACGATCCCTTCCAGGTGTCGCACTATGCCATGGACATTTTCAACTATCTGAAAACGCGTGAGCCAGAGTTCCCCATTGTGGACTACATGCCCAAGCAGGTGCATCTGACCACCTGGATGCGCACGCTGCTCGTCGACTGGATGGTGGAGGTGCAGGAGACGTTCGAGCTCAACCATGAGACGCTCTATCTGGCGGTCAAAATAGTCGATCTCTATCTGTGTCGCAAGGTTATCAACAAGGAGCGACTGCAGCTGCTGGGAGCGGCCGCCTTCTTCATCGCCTGCAAGTACGACGAGCGCCAGCCGCCGCTCATCGATGACTTTTTGTACATCTGCGACGGCGCCTACAATCACAACGAGCTGGTCAAGATGGAGATGGAGACGTTGCGCGTGATAAACTTTGATCTGGGCATACCTCTCTCGTATCGCTTCCTGCGGCGCTACGCTCGCTGCGCCAAGGTACAGATGCCCACATTGACTCTGGCGCGCTACATCCTCGAACTGTCGCTGATGGACTATGCGACCGTTGGCTTCAGTGACTCGCAAATGGCAGCGGCCACTCTATACATGGCATTGCGCATGCATGGCGGCGTCAACGAGCTGGACAACAAGACATGGACGCCCACGCTCGTCTACTACACGGGCTACGAGCTGGCCGATTTTGCCGAACTGGTGCCGGTGCTGAACGCGGGTCTGCATCGGAAGTCGCGGACCACCATCAAGACGATACGCAACAAGTATTCGCACAAGATATTCCATGAGGTGGCCAAAGTGCCGCTGCTGAGCAACAAGGAGCTGTTCCAGAGCAATCTCGACCTGAATGCAAGCAACGCCGCCACATGAGAGCTGACCACCCCCGCACCAGCACCAGCAACAGGAGCAACCCAACCCCGGTCGGGAGACCTCTCGTCGCTTAGCCAAATTAAATTGATCACAAGCAAGAAAAATTGTTACGCTTCACTACGCGCTTAAGAGTAGGCATAAGTCGCTTTTAACTCAAATCGAACTAACAACAATCCAACCGACCCATCATCATCATCAACATCAAGAATCTGTTTCCCCATCCCGATGATTAAGGATTAATGACCGATCGATCGGTTTACTATAACGAAACTAAACTAATCAAGCTCGTGCGCATTTATATATATTTTTTGTAATGTTCATCATGGTTTATTTTGTTTCGTCTATTTGCCGATTTATGACATTCATATTATATTTAATTTTTAATATTCTTGCATAAAAATTCAATGTTAAGTTCATTTTGTTTTTAAACATGTTTTCTGTTCCACCTTCCCCATCCCTGCCTTCCCTCCCCTAACACCTGCGCCTTCACACAAGCCACATTCGAATAACTATACAAGTAGTAATGCACATCCAAAAGAACTATACGAACATATTTATAAGGAATCGCATTTAATAAACTTTTTACATATATATTTACATACATATTTAAGCAACCAAAGCAGCCAGACTGAACAATACGAGTAACAAACACTCCATACAGCCCACCGCAGATCAGTAGAAGCTGAACCTGAAACTGAACCCGAAGCAACAGAAGTCGTCGTCGATTAACAACTAACAAATGGTTCTTGGACCGTCCGAGAACAACCCCCAGAAATAATGATGTATGTAGTAGTTGTTGTAGTTGTTATTAACGCACTGTTTTGTTTATGCATTTCTGACTTTTTAAACGCCACAGACCTCTAGATACATATAGATACGTATGTATGTATGTATGTATGTCTGATAGTTTTGTCATTGTCCTCTAAACTAGTTATGTATGTATGTATGTACTTGTACTCCATGTTATGTATATGATGTATGTGTATATCTCGCACCAAAACCAATAAACTCATTTTTGATACTTGTATGTCCGTTTAAGTGTTGGTTGTTTAAACTAATTAACTGTGTTTCGAAGTGAGTTACACTATCGAATTTCCCTTAAATATGTATGTACATATGTACTTTTGTATACACATATATATACATCTAATTCTGTTTTTACACGATAGATTGGTTCCAGAAACAACCGTGTACAAAAAAGACATTGATCATATGCGAAAAATGGTTCCTTATCTCTAAAGGAATATATATGTAAGCAATTTTCAAACCGTGTTATATCAAAATCGTGCAAAAACAGAATTGGGTGTATATATATTTAAATTAGAGTCGCATTTTTGGCGCGCCTGTCCACATATTTTAGCGCCAAATTCTTGTGGGATTGCGCGCGCGCGCTCTCCTTGGCCGTCCTTATCCCCGCCACCAGGTTGCGCCTGCGCCGCAAGACGTCTTTGTTGTCCAAATCGCTGCATATTATACAAGTATATATGTACATACATACATTGTACTTGTATATATTGCCGATTTATGTCGCTGCAACTGAGCATGAGCATAAGGCTGAGGCTGAGACTGACTGCCTGAACTGATTGAAAAGGGCAGGCCTGCGCACACATTTCTACCACCTTTCTGCCACTGCCATTGCCACTGCCCGTGGTCTTCATCCTCGTCTGCCCATTGTGCGAGCAACGAGCAGCGCCCTCCTTTTTCTTGTCTCGGATCCTGTCTGCTGTCTTCTGTCCGCTGCCTGCAGCCAGGTAGTTTTTACTTTTGCGCCTCTTTGTGCCGAAAAGGAAAGCAATGCATGCCACGTTTTACGGTTCAGTCGGCCCAAGGGTGCCTTGCCCTAAGTACACATGACGTACACGTCTCCTAGCCGAGGTGCAGGCAACAAATAAATACATATATGTATATACATATCTTTATATGTACATGTATTGCTAATTAGTTTGGTTTAGCGCTCATGGGGCGTGCAAAAATCAAGTTTATTTCACAGTGACAGCTGCCTCATGAGATGCTACAATGGTAGGTTTCCACAAAAAACTATGCTAACGGTGTTTGCATCTTGCAGCTCAAATGCCGGCCCTGTTGAAGGCGCCGTTGTAGCCACCGCCGTAGCCGCTGCCAAAGCCAAAAGGACCGTGATTGTTCAGGACATCAAAGGGTCCCTTATGCACGCCATCCTCCTTGTACTCGGTGCTCATTTTGAATTCGTGGTCCCAATGATCGCGTACGTGTGGATTGTGGGAGGGATAGCGATGGTGGTTCTGGTAGCTGAACGGTGGCGCTGCACCACCTGCTGTGGTGACTGGTACGCCGCCTGGGCCGTAGCCTAGGTACTGCGGATATTGTACAAGTGGCGGATAGGGCTGCGGATACTGCGGCAAATATTGCCCCGGATAGAACTGCGGATTAGTTAGCTGAGGTGGTGCCCTGGCGGGATAGTGGCCCGCTAAAGGGAGAGAAGATTCGTAGTCACCAGGCGGCAGTTGCGCAGGATATCCAATGCCGAGCGGTGGCTGCTGGGGTGGCGCACCTATGCGATTCCCACCCTCGGAATAACCATATCCCGGTGGTGGCTGTTGCAGTGGCCTGCCTGCCGGATACCCAAGTCCTTGCGGGGGTATTGCATCCGCGCGATAACCAAAGTCCTGCGGCACCTGCTGTGGTGGTCCCACGGGATGGCTTGCTGTAGCGCCGCGCAAATCCAAACCACTCGCATTGGCGCTCTCGCTGCGCTCGTGACCGTGCGGCTCGTCAATGTCGGCTGCGCCATACGTAGTGCTCGGACACGTGGCACAGGGCTGTTGTTGCGCCACCGGACGACCATATGGATAAAGCTGCGAATTGACGCTGGCCCGAGCGTGGTGGCGGTTGCTCTCAATACCGCCAGTCAGCGTGGAGGCCAAGTTGAATACTGTTTTCGCCTCTTCTCTGCTTTCATCGCGCGAATATTCCGAACCACCGCAGCACGCGGTCAGGGTTAGGGCCAGCCCCAACAAGCAGAGGACATTTGCTTGCATGATTTCTGCGTTCAATGCTGGCCAACGACTAGGCCTTTGTTGGTTGTGCGTCGCGAATTTAATGCGAGTCGGAGGCCCTCAGTTTTTTCCACAGGGGTTATCAAGTGACTGATTATTGTGCGATTGAGGGAGAATGTGAGAGAAGCTTGATTCGCGAGATAACTTTTTTAAGACAACAAATTGGACGAATCACAAATCAAGGTATTCGAAAACAAGTGACGAGAAGATTCGACGTCTTCCAAGAAAATAAATATAAATAGGTCGACAGTCCAAATATTGAACTCAGGAGGAAATTCTGTAGCTCAGCCCTGGCTGCGAGCTTATCAACATGACCCATTCCATTCCAGGCCGCATCGGCAGCAGCCTGAAGGTCTCCCGAGTTCCATTGTCAACACGCTTATCAGCGCTCGGATTATTTCTACAAGTATATAAACATGAATGAATCCACACACCACATCACACAATTCCTAACAACGCAACAAAACAAACATGCAGCTGGGCACTGGATTACCGATGCTGCTAATAGTTCTGCTCCTTGGGGTCTCGCACGCACGTCCTACCTTTGACAAAATTGCTGAAGTGCTGCTCGACTTGGTGGACGAAGGACCGTACCATGGGAGACCGTATGGAAGACCACCGTCCCCGCATGGACCGCTGATTCAGGAAGGCTACGAGCAGGGCTACAACTATCACTACGGTGGGGGTGGCTATCAGCAGCAAGGTCCTGTAATTGTCGGCAGTCCGTATAGACCGCCTTCGCCAGCTTACGGACTGCAGCCGCCATCGAACAGCTATGACTATTATCCGAGGGCGCCAACACATTACAGGCCAGGAGCAACAACTCCCTATGAATATTCACAGCCTACGTACGCACAGGGATATGGCAGAGGAGGGTACAGACAGCATGGCTACTGAGCCAGCTTTGAGTTTCAGTTATCATATGTGATATTGATATTAATACCGCTATCTGAGAATTATTTAGTGTCTTGTTATATCTAAATTTTTATCAGAACCAACGCCCTACACATATAGCTGCTATAAGTATAATTGGTAAAATAAAGTGTATTTTAGTTGAAGGGCGGTGGTATAGAAAGGTAAAGGATATACATCGTGCTTGGCATTTAAAAATACTTGTATATTGTATATTTCGTTGCTTTATCCCAACTTATTTGCTTTAAAAGTTCTTTATAAAATCCGTTCGATTTCTACTTATTCTGGCAATAAGTTGTGAGTTTTAAATTACGGCTAATACATCGAATTCTACAATTATAAATGTATGCTTTATTTATTTATGAGCGCATGGTTATTGAAACCTGTTTGTAGAGATGACCGGACGAGACAGAAACGAACTTGGGATGCGGTCACAGGCAGTGCAGTGGGTTCAAGTATTTTGGGAAAATTCCTGATACTAACTGGTTTATCATTCGTTATATAACTTTAAAGATATCTACAGATCTTTCAGGGTCAGACCTTCGTCTGATGTTTCACATTTTATTATATACTATCTACAATATGTCATGCTTTATGGATAAGCTCTGTTTCGAAAAAATCGTATCACGATGGAGAGGCTTTCCGTTTAGACGGAAGAGTTTTATATATTTTATTTACAAGTACTGTATTTCTAAAATTAAAGTATTCATATGTCAGCGTCGGCGCGGATCGATCTGCTCGGCTGGATTTGTGGGCACCGACTGCGACGTTCGATCGGGCAGATGTACGTAGTGGACTGATGTTGGATAAATGATGTCCCGCAGTTGGGACAGCTGAATGGATTGGGGTGGCTTGTGAGGCAGTGGCGTGGGCGCGGGACTCGGCGGTGGTGCAGGTGCAGGTGAAGGTTCTGGTTGTGGTTGCAGCGGCGGACGTTTGGTGCCCATAATCAGTGAACCATGGGTCGGCGTTTTGGTAGTTGGAACCGTGGGCTGTGGCAGTGTGGCTGGCGTTGTAATGGAGCCAACAGGATTCGTATTGTCATAGTTGTTATTGGGATCGTATGGGCCTTGAGTGTCTCCATTGGGGTACCGATTTGTGGCTGGCGTTGTAATGGAGCCAACAGGATTGGTATTGTCATAGTTGTTATTGGGATCGTATGGGCCTTGGGTATCTCCATTGGGATACCAATTTGTTGGTGGCTGCTGATTGTTAAAATTTGCGTTGGGAAAGTTGGGGTTCAGATTATTTCCATTAGGGTAAAAGGCTGGAGGCGGCGGCGGGCGATTTGGTCCAAATGGAGGTGGAGGCGGCGGACGATTTGGTCCAAATGGAGGTGGAGGGGCCATCATGCCATGACCATGTCCATGACCACGATTATGTGGCGGCATGCCAGGCTGGAAAGGTGGCATTGGTGGCCTGCCAGCGCCCCAGCCAAACATATGCGGTCCCATGCCCGGATTGAAGGGTGGGCGGCCCATGCCATGCGGATGTGGTGGAGGTGGTTGCCTGGCGCCGCCATTTCCCCATCCGCCAAATCCGTTGTTTCCCCAGCCACCGCCTTGATGCATATTGAAGCCATTATTGTTGTTGTAATTGTTAAAGTTATTGGCGGGAAAGTTATTGAATCCACCGCCGAAGCCGGGCAGTTGAGCAACAGCGGTTACACCGCCCGCCGAAGCCACCGCGCCGAATGGTCCGGCCGAGGAGACGGCGAACTGAGCGCGGCTCAATCCGCACAAGAGCGAAGCCATTAGCAACGAGATATAGAATCGCGACATAATGGCTTATTGGACAAATCGTTCAACTAAACACGTCGAGCATCACATTCTAACTGGCGGGAGGCTCGAGCCATCGGTCACGGAGCGGAGAGTGTGCAGCGATAAGCTGTTTTCGGTTCCATTGGAAACCTGTCTCAGCATTGTTTGTTTGTGTTCATTAATTAATACGTGATGAGCGGGCGTGATTTGCTCGCTTCGTTGTTGCTCTCTACGAGCGGGCCGCTCGACTGCCGTGCCTGCTAACGGTCAACAAGGGGTTAATGTAATCATCAAAACTAAAACAAAAAGCTCGACAGCGGCGACTGCGAAGAAGCTGACTGCGGACTAAGAAGAAGACAGCAGTTTGGTAACCGCCGGTATCGGTTCGGCATTGTCTCCGACAGTCCGACAGTCTTTGGGGGATGCGTGGCGCAGGCGCGTGCTCCGCATATTGAGTGTGGATTGATGGATGTGGGCGATGGGAAAAGCACAAAAACTATAAAGAACAAATAATGCAATAAACCGTAGCTGGACATCAACAGAAAATAAAACCATTTGAATGATCCAGACCGCAATGTGTCAGCACTGGATCGGGCTATGATTTGGGTATAAAAAGGGGACAACTGCGCAGATCCGTTGTCAGTAGAACAAACGACGAGCACGAGCGATCAGCACACAAACATAATACATATATATCTTATATACAGGCAACATGAGAGTTCCTAGTCTGTTGTTCCTATCGTTGCTGCTGGGCAGCTGTTTGGCATTAAGCGAAGCGATTCTGGCGCCACTGCTGAAGGGCCTGAAGAAAGGACATGCTCCCAGTGTTGGAGTGTATGTCACCAAGAGCTATGGTGGAGGCTATGGCGGTGGCTACAACACCGGTTATGGCGGAGGATACAACACAGGGTATGGCGGAGGATACAACACAGGGTATGGCGGAGGATACAACACAGGATATGGCGGAGGATACAACGCCGGCTATGGCGGAGGATATGGCGGCGGATATAGTGCAGGGTATGGTGGAGGATATGGCGATGGATACAATGGGGGATATGGTGGATCTGGCTATGCCGGCAACTATGGCTATGGCAAGTATAAGAGCTATGGCTATTCATCTCCCCATCGCAACTATGGCCATCGTCGCCCAAGTAGCCAACGCACAGGACGCACCTTTTCCCAAATAAAGCGTATCGTCACTCCGGATCCATATCCCTACATATTTGGAGGCCGTTTCTTGCCCGGCAAAGGGCCGCTGGGCTGAACCAAGACTAAGAGTTTAAGCACAAATAAGTTGAAATTAAACTAAGATACATACTAGATAGGTACATAGATTAACAAAGAATTAAATAAAAAGTATTTTAGTTTTGAAAATAAGCGAGAATCCAGAATCCAATCTTTATAAAGTTTCTTACAGCCTCTCTTCAAATACCAATTAAAATTCAAAGTGGAGTGGAGCATGAAAAGTGTTTTGAGAAAGCAAGGAAAGTGGCGTTGTGTAATAAATTTTTCTTTGATTTCTGTGCTTGTTCAACAACTTTGTGTTGAAGAGCAATTATGGCGTGACTGCCACGCCCACTCCACAAACAACAAAAGAGCCATAAAGTCGCACATCTACTTAACTGAGCCATTGAGCGTGATTTGTTTTGTTGTTATTTTTAATTAGCTGCAGAAGTGTGTCTCTGCGGCTAAGCTAAAATTTATGATCAGACCCGCACACCGCCCGAGTAATGCTGATCGCACGTACGTGACTGACATACGATGCCTAAAATAGTGTGTATTAAGCTCACATATAAATTGTATTATTGGGGCAGGTAGCGGCAGTTTCTAGTCTACAACATTGGGTTAAATATATACTACGATTAAAAGGGCAATACTTGTTTTGTTTTTGTTTAGGAAAGGCTCGTCATGTTTAAAAGCTTACATCCAGTTCGACTTGTGCCTCAATTTGTCATAAAAGAGACGGACATTAAATCGCCAGACCGGCATTATTTTATCTGGCAATGCAGCTGACAAATGCTTATGAATCAGACACGGAGTACTGGGATGTCCAGGCCAAGTGATTCAATATGTTAATATGGTTTTATTTAGCTCTAAAGTACAAAGTGAGAAACCAAGTCCATGAACATTTTGTAGAAAAATTTGACTATAGTCTATAGAACAAAAAGCCAAATGCGACTGAGCATAAATAACAGAGCTGGGAGTAATACGTCTAGAAGTTCCACATTTGACTCCTCTGAAGTAATTATATCGAGCTTACTGAAGCACAGCTCCTTTTCTTATTAAAGATATTTAAAATCATAATTAAAATCAACTTAGTTCTAAGAACGATGATTTGAAAACTGCATACTGTATAGCCGAATACTAAGAATTCAAACACAAAGACAAATTAATAGGACAAGGAAATTAAAGTATTTAAATTATATTTTAAAGACCCAGAAACTGATCATGTTGTCTCTTCTCAAATGTGCTTTTTATAGAGAAACAATAGACACTTAAGACTAAGATATGCGTTTCTGACGCACACTTTGTTGTTGCAGGAAGTAAAAGGCATCCCCCTTTATTGACTGGAAATGCAAAAATGTCTCCATAAAGTCGAAGCCAAGACTCAGTTGGCGCACCTACGTCATTAGTCTATAATTAATTCTAAATAGTCACACCTATGCTAATCGCACAACAATGCTAGCTAAATCATTCACCTGTGCTTGGACATAAGTTTAGATCGCAAAGATCACCACAAATACAAGTGCCCGTATGTACAGAGCCGGCTTAGTCACGGCCTCTAGCTCTGGAGCATATCGGCAGCGACCGATCAATGGTGTGAATGACATTTTGCCACGAGTGTGCCTGTAAATTTTCAGATAAACTCGCCAGATACAATGAGTCGCGTCGATAGTTGATCGCTGCGCTACGTGAGGCGCATGCGTCGCGTCGTGGAGAGCGATCGTCAGAATGCGTGAAAACCTGTATGTGTTGCAAAAAAAGAAAGAATAGCGGGCTGTTTTGGGAAGTAACTATAAAAAGGGTAGTACGCGCTGGTATGAAAGCGTAGTTCTTGACAGTCCAGACGTCGGTTTAGATCTCCTCCGCACACCCCAGCTATGTCTGTGCTAATCGAACGGCTATATTGGTTGCTGACCCTGGTGCTGCTGATGCTTGCATCTGCATCTGGAACTCCGGCACGAGGCTACCAAGGCGAACGTAACGGACGCAGCTACTCCGACATAGCACGCGTTCTCAACCCGGATCCGTACGCTTTTGCAGGCTCGTATGGTCCATTTCCCAGACAACCCTTTTGGCCTTCAGGACCTTGACCAGGCGCCGCAGTAATTGCCATTAATTTTGTAAAAGACTCGTCTGATTTTTAGTTTGTAAATAAAATATGTGCGTAAAATAAGATAAGCCCAAGGTCACGCAGTTTTTAGTTCAAGTTGAGGGTTTTTTCATCTACACTGTGGAGTTTATTGTTGCCGCCCGAAAGTATGCTATGCTTTTTCGCAGAGACACAAACTTAACCCTTATAGGGTGCGGGGGAATAGATGAGAAATAACAAAGCGAAATAAGGCGGCAAATGTAGAAAGCTGGTCAGTGTTTTTAAAAGCCGTAACTTACACATGCCTTGGTGCGGGTTAATGTTAAGCAGTAGGAATGTTCAATATAGTATTTGTGTATAGAAAAAGATTTACAATTAATCGTCACATATGCATAGTTGGAAGTCTTTTGCATGCCACAAACGATTTATAAAAAGTATAAATAATTAATAATTAAATGAAATAAATAATTAAATAAGACTGAACTCCTAGTTTAAGCTGTATTTGTATTTGTATTTTTCTATAAGTTTAATTTAAGTTATTGTCGATAATAACAGTATAATTAAAGTTAAAAAAAATTAATAAATAAATAAAAAATGCCAAGACCCCCTTAGAATGTCTAACTGGCATTTGCAAGGGAATGTTTGGACTGAGTCCAGAAGAGGGTGCAGGTTTCCAGAAGGTTCAGCAGGCTTTGTTTCTAGCTAGTGAGCTGGCGGCTAGCTTTAAGCTTATAGTCGAAAGTGTTCAGTCATCATACTCTTCAGCTATATTCAATATACAGTCTTGGCTGAACGTCGCCAGCGATATGGTTGCTTTGGACATATCTGACCTAGAACTTAGTAAATAACAAAACATTAAAATATATCGTTGTCGTTTGTTCTCCAAGGAAGTCGAGAGACAACTGTTTAACATATAGAGTACTAATCAAAAATCTCGGAGACGCAAACTATTTTATATTTCAGAAATATCCTTAATCTGTAAAGCTCGTCCCATTAAATTATGTGAATCCATTTTCAAACAATCTCGAAGCCACATAACACTTTCATACACTTTATGTCCAATTCTAAGCGAGGTAAGGTTTCAACACCTACAGAAAAATCAAATGAATATGGAACAGACTAGAGATCCCTTAAACGGAACTAATTGGACTGCATTAGTAAACTATCTTAAACATACACTAATTTAAATTAATAAAACAAAAATTAAGGGAATAAATATAATGGCTGGCGACTGTAAAATATTTATTAATAAGGTTTTGCTGTAACACCAACTTCTTATCCGACCTGCTATCTGGGGAAGACCCGTGCAGCCAGGTGGAGTACACTAGCTAGTTCATGGTAATTGTTGGTGATCGATAGACGGTTTAAGCCAAGTCGATGTAGTTGAAATATAGCTTTATTTCTTTAGCTTAACTATGAATTAAAAAACGTTCTTTTTAATGTGATTATGAAAATAAATAAAGCTTCTACTACTACAGTCTTAGTTGAAATATAGCTTTATTTCTTTAGCTTAACTATGAATCAAAAAACGTTCTTTTTAAGGTGACTATGAAAATAAATAAAGCTTCTACTACTACAGTCCTAGCAACCACACATACATTCAGATCCTCACAATTAAGCCAAGCTGCTGGTCGAACGCGGCCGATGTGTAAAAAACGTAATTAACACACGGCCATGACGCGCCGCACTAATGACAAATGTGCATTAAGTTTGTCTGGCCACGCCCACTTTGGAAGTTGGTTCGCCTACGTGTCGACGACTCCATTACATGGCCAACAATAGAAGCGCAGTCAGCAACTGACAGGACAGAGGACGACAACGCACTCAGCTTAACATACGAACCGCTCATCGCTCATCGTTCATCGTTAAAATCGTGCGCTTCAATGGTTAATATTAAATCAACATCCGATGCCATCTGGTGGATTAAAAATCCGAAGGGTGCAGAGTTGAAGGAGAGCGGCAGAGGGCGTGCTGGGGGGCGCAAGAAGTCGCGGGACGCCAGCTTTTGTCTGGATATGGCAGATTTAGTGCGCAATATATCCTTGCAGGGATATAGCAAGCTGTTGGCGCCAGAATTAACGCTGTGCGAAAGGTAAGGCAAGGGGGTAGGCCGGCTGGCAGCAAAGATAAAAATGCAGACGCTTGGGCTGCACATTGACGTTACTCATACGCAACGTGGCACGCATCGCGCGCTCCATAGACAATTTGCATTTGCAATTTTCGCAGCGCTGCTCCGAACGTCGGATGGCGTATAAACGTATCTCTGGCGCTTTTACTGTTACCTTTGTCGTCTCCCCGTGCATTGCATTTTTCGCATTTCGCATTTTTCATTTCCGTTTCCGCTTTTTTCCTCAAAACCCACTCCCATGGCCATGTCGCTTTGTGTATGCTTATCTTGCTGGCACGCTGCCTGCCTCTGCAACGCATCCACCTTACCGAACCTCCTCTGGCGGTGGCGCGCTTATTTGCAGATTAATTTGGCTGCTGGTGCACACCACAATGTTCGGCATACTGCTGGCGGTGCTCTCACTCACCTGGGAACAATTTGCCGCACAATACTTTGTCATCAATCTGAAGGATCCCCTTTATCCCGTCGAAAATGTGCCATTTCCGGCAGTGTCAATATGCTCGAACAATCGCATTTCCAAGCAGGCGGTCACAAAGTATGCGCTCGAGCTGTGAGTAGCCCCCATCTCGATGTTCTCAGTCATGTTTGAGCTCTGATTGAACTAATATTGAACATTCATTTCCCTATGCTCGGCCAAGGCAAAGAAATGACCCGTCCCGGCGCAGTCTGGACTATTACCTGGAACACTTGAAAAACTTTCGCGATTACTACATGACAGGACAGGAGAGGACTATCGATATGGAATCTAATACGAACTTTCAAACGCTGTTGGACTTGTTTGGCACGTGGGAAAACGAAACATTCTACGATACAAGACGCATCATGAAAATGGTAAGTCCAATTGGAACGTATCAGAGTACTGGGGGAAGGACAATCAATTATGCACACGACAACTTTTGGTAAGAAGAAGAATGCAGGAAACTTTGTGGCACCCACTTCTCTGTGCTCCACACAACATAGAATTATGGCTCTGGGTCCAAAAATTGACCAAAAACTTTGAGTTTATTGGAAATGAGAGAGGGAAAAACTTTGTCCCTCTCATTTTGTTATCCAGAGAATCACTTTATGGCGTTTAATGTTCCTGCACTTGCTGCGTTCATGTGTAGTCAGCAAAGTCTTTCAAATGGTCTCTTAGAGATGTAAGTGGCTTTTCTTTTGATTGAACCCTGCAACTAAAAATTGTTTATTTTGTTGGTAATCCTATTATTATTATTATGTATATACCTATAACTCATTTTTATAGTAAGTTCTGCAAGCCTTTAATCTATGTACTTATTTCGTTCACTTTCCAGCTGGCGCCCGAGTGCAAGCACCTGATTTTAAAGTGCAGTCTGGCAAATGTTAACATACCGTGCTTTAGTAAGCTTGCCTTCCAGGAATCGCTGAATCCTTGGGGACCCTGCTGCACATTCAACACTAAGAACAGGTAACTATGAGTGGCAGGAAGTCAAGTTATATCCAAGCTCACTAATGGATTGCAGTCTCAAGAAACGCCATTTTAAGAATCGTTTGGCCAGCTCGGAGCTCGGCTTGACAGTGGTCCTGAACTCCAGTCAGGATGATTATTTCACGCCCGTTTTAAATACCAATGGATATATTGTAATTGTGCATGACTCTGAAAATTATGCGTCCGTGGCTTCATCCAATGCGGTCGAAGTACATCCCGGACAAAATGAGGAAAGTTTTCTGATGATTTATGCACGCGTGGTGGAAACCGACCCCAGTCTGGATTCCTTCTCAGCGATGAATGTGAGTTCATGGAAACAGAAAGGTTCCAGCATTGAATATAGGGCAGAATATCTCCCTTAGCGTCGCTGCTACTTTGACAATGAGGCGCCTAATCCGGAGCAACTGCTGGCCTCCATCTACACCTTCCCGAATTGCATCACGCGGTGTCGCATCCGAAGCATGGTCGCCTTATGCCGCTGCCTGCCGTTCTATATGCCATGGCGACTGGTAGAGAACCAAGACGGCGTCGTCTACTGCACCCTAAACCATATTCCCTGCCTGAGGCAATATAACTGTAAGTAACGCTCCAAGGTCGCTTCGACAGACGTATGATTAGCATTCTATTCCCGCTCAGTCAAATGGACCAATGTGCTAATAGAACGCAAAGCCGTGCCTGGTCTGGAGCGCGAAATGGAGGAGGCTTTGTACTGTCCACAGTGTCTGCCTTCGTGCAATGATGTCCAGTACAGTGTGTCGCTGCATTCGCTGCCTATCGATAACTATTTGGTCACTTTTGCCAACAAATCGGAGTCCAATTCCGACATATCTCTATTGCGTGTCTACTTTGGTGACCCCTACGCCCACTTGTACATACGGCTTCTAAACAATGCCTGGTTTGAAGTGTTCAGTGAGTGCCACGCGCCAAATAATCGATGACTTACTAATTTGAATTTTCACTTGAAGGCACCATTGGCAACATTTTGTCTATCATCATCGGATTCTCCTTGGTGGCTATCTTTGAGACCCTCTTTGTTCTGCTCAGATATATCTTTGAGAGCTGTGCTCGCCTTCTGGAGCAAAATGAAAACTCTGAGAAGGTAAAGAAGGCAAAGAAAGGCTTGGATCCGGAAAAATTGTACATTTGTCCATAAAAGAAAAGAATCTATTTTCTACTATTTTAGTATCTTAACGTTTATTAAATTTAACCTACATTTTCACCTTTTTAGCAAATGTGCTGCTCGTCAACTATTAATTATATCCTTTTCACACAGCACAAAATATTAATATAAGAAAAAGCTTTTCTAATAGACTATCCTTTCACGGCTGCCTCACAAAATGTATGAAGCTTTGAGTGTAGAGAGTGATTTCTTTTCACATTTTTATTACAAAAGTTGACCGCGATTTTAACTCATTTGCGGGTGCAATTATCAGCATTTAACAATTTTAAGCAGCTTAAGCTGCGGTCACATACAAATATACAAATGATTTGCCATCAACTTCGTCGTTTAATGAGTAGGTCCCTATTTGATTTGTTGTAGCAGAAAACTGTTATTATGTTTAGAATATTTACCAAGTTGGAGTGAAGTTACATTAAATTCAGGAAGAGTTTGTGAAATTTAAAGAATGTGTACAAGCTATTTATATAGAGCTTTGTAGTAAATTCGAATGCCTGGCCGTAGATTAGCCGGGAGGGAGCTTAGTAAGGAGTCTTAGAGGACAACAAGTAAACAGGTTTAGGTTTAGTCTCGAACATGAAGATGTTTCTTCTGTCTCCTCTGCACGATGGGGTTCCTAACTCAATAACTCAACGTGTTTAAATAATATTGTATGCATTTTTATTAAAATTTGAATTATTATTGATTAAAAATGAATTAAAATGTTCCCACATTAAAAGTTGATTACATTTTTTCTTGGCTTCATGGAAGGAGCCTTTGTGCTTCACAATTTGGGTTCTCAGGTTTTTTTTAAAGTTTCATTCAACAGGATTGGATGGGTTTCTAAGTATATTTATGCTACAACCCTATTTACATTTATTTTACAAGATACTCGTAGATCAAATATTTTCTTGCCTGTTCATCCTTCTATCATCTCAAAATTGTACTCTCTAAATCATTTGTAAGTATTTCAAGGAGCTAAGAAGCCTGAGGGTGTGAAAAACTAAAATATGGAGTCAAACAACCGCGGGCCTTGTTTACCTTCTGGCTCGCCTTTACGTCTAAGACTGTTTTGGTAGCAATGGGATGTGTGAGTGCCACAAACAAGGCCTGTCTATTTTCCTACAGTTGCTGATGATGATGATGACGTTTCCGCTTGCTGACATTTAACGCGCATTTAACTAATTTCGTTTTAAATTGTTGACAATTAAAGAAAATTGCCAAGACGAATTGGGCGGCATTTAGGCTAACATGGAGTAGCAGCAGGACCAACAAGAAGAGCAGCTACAACGGCAACAACAACATGAAGAAATTAGACGGCATGTCGCAGTTAATTTGTTGGCAATAAGTTGGAACACGAGGCCTAATTACAACAACACGCACGACATGACTGCAAAATTTTCATTAAAATGAGCCCCGCTAACGAGAGACACAATGCGTACAATCCGACAATCTACTGAGTATCCTATCGTATCGTTCCGTATCGTTCGTATCGAGTGAGAGTTACCCCCAAATGGTGGAGCGGCCTACAAAAAGGCACGCGGCACGCAGACAGCCGCAACAGTTGCAATTTATAAACGGCTGAGTGAACGCGCCGCCAAACATGCCACCAGCAGAAGCAGAAACAAAAAAAGGAACAGGAATGGGAGCGGGAATGGGAGCGGGAGCGGGAGCAGCAACAAAGCCGCCTCCTCGGCTTGTTGTGGGCCGGGCTGCCTGGTGGATACCCGCACCTGTGCCTTCGTTGGATGGCGGTGACGAGACAGGCTCGACCGAGGAGGAGGACACGCAAAAATTGTCATTTGCTGCCGAGCTAAAGGATTTGTTGCACAACCTGTCATTTCATTGTTATGGCAAATTAGTCGAGCAGGGTCGTCGTATTTCGGAGCGGTGAGTAATGTCCTTCCGCGCACCCTCATTGGGAGCGCTTTCAATTAGCTCCAATCAATGCATTTGGCACTGGCACTGGCATCGCCACAGCTTCTTCTGGCTCATTTTCCACACCACTGCGCTGAGCGTTCTAATTGCATTCCTGTGCGACACATACACTAGTGAGAAAAAGGCTCTGGTCACCACACTCTACGACCCGCTCTATCCCATCCGCAACGTGGAGTTCCCGACGGTCTCTGTCTGCACCATCAATCGCATATCGAGTCGCGCGGTTGTGCGGTATGCGCAGGATCTGTAAGTGGAGCAGACGCCTGAGCGTGTCGTTTTGCATATTGGTTGGCATAATGGGCTAATTCGCTGGTTTGTTGTTTGGCTTCGCAGCAGCGACAAGGATCCCAGCCACCGCAATGTCAGTTACTTCATTGAGGAGCTGCGGGCTTTCGGCTTCCTGTACTATCGACTCGATAAGATGGACGACTATGAGCGTGCTTTGCGATTCCAGGGATTCTTAGATACCTACGACGTCGAGCCACAGGACCTGTTCTTCAATACGCGATCAAGGATGCATGCTCTGACGCCGAACTGCAGCGAAACCTTTGTTTCCTGCCGCCTCGCCGGCGAGCCGTTCAATTGTCTGAAGCATTTCAAGGAGATGCTGACTGGTAACGGGTTTTGCTGCACCTTCAACTTTGAATTTGGGTAAACAGTCGAAATAGTCTAGGAAGGTCTTTAATGCTTAATTGTATCTCTCAATTCCTTTCAATTATTTTCCACCCTTTCGATAATATAATATTCATTTCAATTCTTTACATTGCTATCTGTTTAAAATTTTGATTATTTCCGATCAAATTATGTATTATTCAATGATACAGAATTCTTTGAAATGGTATGCACTCCGACTTATTTGCATTATTTTCAATTATACTCAGTTGCTCTCACACTGTTTCCTTCTGTTTAATTGTAAAAAATTATATTTTATTCTGTTTAAAAAAGTTTTTTATTGTGATTGCTATCATGTTCGATTCTTCAATTCTTTAATTCTTTACCATTTAAATCCACTCTTTAACCCAATTTATTAGTTAAGCTTTATATTCAATATTACTCAATGTTCAAAGTTCATTTAATTTTTGAATTCTTTTCAATTCAACTAATTTCAATTACTTCTATTCTATTCAATTCTAACAAAGTTTTTTAAGTTCTATTCAATTCTATTACAATCAGTTGTAATCTATTCCATTTAGTTCTATTGAGTTTTATTAAATTGTATTCAATTACATCCAGTTCTATTTAATTTTATTCAAGTCTTTTCAATTCAATTCACTTCAATTCTTTTCAATTCTATTACATTCTATTCAATTAAATTCTATTTAATTCTTTTTAATTTCATTCAATCTATTCAGCTCCATTATATTTCGTTCCTTTTAATTTCATTTAATCTATTCAGTTATATTATATTAAATTCTACTTTATTCTATTTAATAATTTCGAATTTTTTTGCGTTTTAATTCTATTCAAATTTTTAAATTCTTTTTTATTGATATTTTATCCAGTTGAATTAATTCGCCTTGATCGAATTATTCTTAATTTTTACCAAATATTTCGATTCATTTATATTTAATTATTTTCAATCCGTTTCGAGGTACACTAAGAAGTCCAGATTTCGTCGAGGTTTTTTTGGAGCCGAATTGGGTCTGGTACTGACGCTTAAATCAGCACCCAGCGACAACTTTTTCAAATTGTATTCGCCGGATGGCTTTTTAGTAAGCATTAAACATTATTAGCTAATCCTTTATATCTGTAGATTAGTCTGGTAGATTTCTATTTATGAACAGCATAACTATCCGGACTATTTCTCTGGAGGCGTTGCGGACCGCTTTGCGCCGCTTGGTCACACAACGTTGCTGCCAATTCGTCCGAAAATCTTCGAGACCGTGCCGGAGGCACGCTGTATGAACCCGGAAGTGGTGAGTAGAAGATCCTAGATTGGTGTTTGGTAGCTCCGCTCTAAATGGACACAAATCTGCAGCGCAATTGTCTGTTCAAGGACGAAATGCCGCGCATGTTTAAGAAAACGTACAGCTTCAGCAAGTGCATCTCAATCTGCCGAGCACGCAGCGTGCTGAGCCTGTGCGAGTGCGTGCCCTTCAATGTGCCGCAGAACTATTTTGGGGGGGTTATGGGACGCGTTTACTGCACGCTGCAGCATGTTGAATGCATCCAGCGCTACGAGTGTAAGTGCCACGCGGCGTATGCGCAATGCCTGAGCGCTCATTAATAAAAAGAATGTCCCACAGTCAAATGGCTGAACGTCATCACCAGGCACGCAGATGTCCCGGGCCTGGAACATGAAATGGAGGACGCGCTCTACTGTCCCGGTTGCTTGCCCTCCTGCACGGAGACGCGCTACAAGGTCCGTGGCGCCATGATGCTGGCCCTGAGCAGCTCATACAAGCCGATGGGGTGAGGGTTGGGTTGGTAGGGTTGCCTTTGATAGGCATTGCAAATGGTTTTCATTTCGCAGCTACATCGATGGCAATAACGTTTACGACCATGGCAACGGCAACGGCAACGACAGCAGCACCGGCAACGGTAATGGCGGCGGGGACGGCAACGGCACCGAGCTGGCGGTAGTGCGTATTTACTTTGCCCAAACGCACATTCAATACTTTCGGCAGATTATTAAAAATGCTTGGTACGAGACCTTCAGTGAGTATGCGCCTCAAAGGCTCTTCCTGGGAGAAAATAACAATTTTGCATATTTTTCCATCGCTTCCGCATTGCCTCTCCTTCGCTTTCCCTTTGCTCCTTGTACGGGTGTATGGGTTCCAGGTACAATTGGCAACATCTGCAGCATCATAGCGGGCTTCTCATTGATTGGCATCTGTGAGCTGCTTTTTTTTCTAGCCAAACAATTATGGCACGCATGCAAAACGGAGCTTAAGGCAGAATGCCATCATGTCTCGACTAATGGCTTTAGACGGGCCCGGCAACAGGAGCAGCAACAGCCTGAAAAAATGGAGTTGCTTATTCTGCCGTAATTGAGCGAGCGACCGAGCGATTGGAGTGGAGCGAAGTGAAGTGACGGACAGGTCTACAAATACCTACTAACTACATACAGCCGCCTTGGCACAATTTTAAAGCTCACTAATTTTTATGCAGCACTCACACACACATACTAGTACTAAGTACGAAGCACTCGCAGTAGTTCTGTGGGGCGGAACAAATGTTAATTATCTGAGTCCAGCTGGGCATTACTGTTCCAATCGAATGTGGAGCACAAACGGAATTGCACCGACTTTGTGTTTTGTGTCCATGCCTTTGTCATAAAAATAAATGCCACACAGTGGAAAAAGTTTGCCAAAAAGGTCCTGGCGGACACATTAGTGCAAGCAGTTGCTACGACTTGGACACTGGCCAACGCAATGGCCAGCACGTGGACACAGTTGCTGGCAAATCAGTTGGACATTCGAATGTTTTTGCAGTTATGGACCACAAAATACTGTACACGAGATTTGGCACTTGACTGCATACCGAAGCACGAGCGCATCAATTTTTATTTCTTGTATGCCACAATTCCGGAAATTGCGAAACAAACAACATGCTGAGTTGGTGTGAAACATGGCTATAAGCTGACGAATGGAATGTGGCATTTGTTAAAGCCTAGATAGCACATATGGGATCTGCATAAAGTTCAGTTGGTTTTTGTAAATTCCTGACTCCCACTCCCATACCCTGTTAATGCTTCAAAGGCTCATCAGGCACATTGTTTGTTAATTGGAATGAAGAAGTGGTACTTGCTGGATGGATTCGTGGCAGAAAGAAGTAGCTGAAGAAGGAGTCGAGAAGAAAAAAAGGTACTCGAACAATATTCACTATAGTTGACATAATAATTGTTAATATTTATTCCAATTACTAAATTGACAAATCAGTTAACAATTTATATAATAGTTATACCCCACATCTTTCACATTTATAATCCAATATTAACTATTAAAATAAATTTATTAAACCACTTATGCTACGAGTTGAGAGAATAACTTTCATTGAACATTAATATTTACTTGTAATAATGTCCATCTCTTTTTCTTAATAATATTTGCAATAAACCATAAAACAATGTCTTATCATTGTTTTGTATTAAAAGAACAGGCAGTTTTCCGAATTGTTTTACAGTTTCTCCAATTTGGTCAAAAATATATAAAGGTAATTCTTTTGTATCTAGACGTTGGATAATAGAATTTCCATTCCATGAATTTTTGTAGAGTGACTTAGGCTAGGTTCGGTTTTTTTCTTGTTCTAGGTGGTGGAGTGGACAATTTTTTAATGTATGCCCGGTTTCAATGAAATAAACATTTAATATTATATTTATATCTCAGCAGTTAACGACTTTAGTTAATGATATTCTGAGGCAGGTGTGGCTCACCTAAGCTGTCGATTCATTTACAGAAAAATTTCATAATTGAATTCTTCAAAATAACAAAATGGATTGTTTCGTTCAGAATAAGTTGAACTGAACGTGTCCTTGAAATAAACTACACAACCTATTCACTGACTTCCCCATTCAAAAGAGTACTTCAGGCTATTAATCTGCTTTACAAGATGATCCTTAGGTCGTTAAAGATTGTCTGATTTTCTTCAGCAATACTTTTGCCAGCTAAAGATTTATTTGATCGAAGATATCAAAATAAATTCCACTAAGTCTTGGTCTTGATAAAGAATTGATCTTTTAACAAAAGAGAACGACTGTTTGAGGGCTTAGAGTTTTATAGTTGGATTTAGTGGTCATACACATCCACATCGATTAGTAGGAATCGTGGCCCTATTTATGTGCCATGCGAAGCAAGATTTCTAGTACCAGAAAGTTGAGTTATTCCGCTACTTGCGTTTACTTAGTCAGCAATCGAAACTGATTTCGCGTATTATGTGGGAAGGATACAGGATACAGGATACGTACTCGTACATCATTGTATCTTCATTAAAGCGAGACAGGGGCGAAAAAGCATTGTAACCAGGGCAGAGGAGACGGGACTGTGCACGTTTTACCTTAATGAATTTTGTGTGAGTTTTGACTTTGCTGAGTATTTGAGTATTTGGTCCCCCATTTCCGGAACGTTCACACACAGAGTGCACACATACATACACACCCGTACATAACGTATGTAAATTTGAGCATCGCTGTCTGAAAATTGAAATGATTTCCGTTGAATTTGTATGCCAGTTGTTTGTTTTTTCATGCATAAAACTGCCTAAAAATTGCAAAAAATTTAAATGAAGCTACGCACTCGAGAAGAGAGACGCTCAACGGCAGGCAGCAACAGTCGATGCTTGGAGCTGGAGCTGGAGCTGATGCTAGAATGGCAAACAAAGCAAGGAAAATAAACAGTTGGAAAAGCGAGCCAAAGAAAAAAGAATGCGCCCAGCTATGGAAGAGGCAGGGGCAGTCAGCAGTTCCCCCGTGTGGCGTATTATCGCACAATACAATATGTATATTGGATTATTTCGTTTGTGCGAGTTGAGTTTTCTCCCGTTCGACTTGGATACACGTTTCCCCCTCCCCCCCTTCCCCTACCCCTCCACATTTCGCTACCTGCTGCCAGCTACCTGATGGCGTTGCCGGCTGGCTTAACAGACAGCAACAACAGGATAAACAGAGTCCTGCATTCAACGGCGCGTGCGTTTGTGCCTGACGCTGACGCTTCATCTGATGGGGGGCGATTGGGTTGGGGTTGGGGCTGGGGTCTCGACGGAGTCAGTTTGCCAGCTGCCCCGTTTCATTAGGGGGCTGGGGCATACTTCGCATATTGCTCGCTCGTTTTGTATAGATTTTCATGCCGAGCAACAAACGTATACAAGTAGAACTCCGAGTACATCGGTATGCAGAAAATCAGAAATATTTTCTATGATTTTCTCCCGCAACTGCCCACAGAGCACATGAAGTTTTTAATTGAATTCTGAGCTTTACTCTTGGCAAGTTTTGCGAAAGTTACTGCGAATAGCGTCAGCCCGTGGCAATGGTTGAAATTTTGTGGGTTTCCTAAAATCACCCGCAGGCATTTAAAGTTAGTAAGCGCGCTTGTAAAGCCAAAGTTAGTCGCCTGGTCTGGTGTGGACATATTGCCCGATTAGCCAAATAGTACGTTAAGCGAATTGTGCCTTAGTACGGAAATTATGGTGGCGCTGGGTCTGTGCCAGCAGGAAGCTGTTAACTGTCCTTACACTGCGAATAGTGCGGCAGTAAATCCGAGCTTAGGTTCGCCGAGAACCTTTCAATAAACGAAGTCTCCCTTTGCCTGGCAAACGCTTTCAATTATACATATATATAAAATAGGCCAATGCTGGTGAATATATTGTATCTGCCATATGCTCTACATGCCATGTATTTCTCAATAGGCACTTACCGGCATGACATGCCCTGTCATTAGAGGATTCCGCACATGGAGGGTATTCAGAGGCTGGATTTTCGACATTACTTGAAAGCTGTATTATTGTGAACATCCAGATTAACTACCTGTGATACATACTTTGAAGATTAAACGGAAGCTTTTAGGCTCTCAATACACTTTCAATTATGTCAAATAAATAAATGTGATTTAAATGAATTAAACATGCAAGCATTTTTGTTCCAGTCAATCCTCAAGTGGTTTCTTTGCAGTTTTAAGTTTCAAATAAAACATGATTTTTAAGTGACTTGGGCTGCCTGGATATTATGTACATTTTCTAATGCGAGATGTTGGGTTTGGATCATGCCTTAAAATATTTCTCCAGTCATCGTTTTTCTAATTTTATTGCAGTTATGTGATAATTTATCAGAAAAATACATAGTAAACGTATATTTCCACTAAGTTCGAAATTAGGTTTATAATTGACGACAGAACTGTGTGTGTATTTCATGGAAATAAACCGAAAATAGTCAAGTTTAATCTAAGTGTATGTTGCCATAGCCCCATGCGAGTTTAACAAAGAGAGTACAATTTTCGACACCGCTTGGCTCTAAATAAATTTGTTTCCCAATAATATACTGCATGGGTATTCTAGTAGGTATTGTAGAGAGCCATTTTCCATCTCTTCATTCCAGATTTAGCAGACGATTTTTAAATTTCTTAGATTCAAGCGTTCCTATTATTTTTCTCTACGCTCTACATTTTAACACACACACTAGCAAGTGTCCTGTTGTGTGCCTTCTGAATGCCCCTAATGTGCCCATTTTTTGTCTATAAATAAAGTTAAGTATCTTTTGTGGCCTTATGGGGTTAAGCTGCGTGCAAAACCCTCGCTAAAGCCAATGAGCTCCAATCCAAGTCTGGCAACCCATTTAAGACTCTCTGCTTCTTCTCATTCTGCTGAACGACTTTATTCGGCGCTGCGTCGCATCATCATCCTCGTGGATCATGGTGTTGTTGTTGTTGCTGCTGTCAACATCGTCGCCTGCTTTTAAGCACCGTTATCCTTGCCGAGCGTTGGGTGCTTAAACATTCAATTTGGTTGTTTTTGCTGCTCTCCGAATGTGTTGAATTATTTAAAGTAAGTGTTCGTGTGCGTGTGTGTGTGTGTGTGTGTGCGTGTGTATGTAAGCATGTATGTGGGAGGGGGGAAACGGCGACCCACTCGTCCATTTTTAAGTACCACCTACATATTTGCTTTAGTCTGGCCGTTGTCTGAGCGCGCCCTCATGAATAAACATGCAAACAAATTACTGTACTCGGCAGAGGCCCCGAACAAAAGAGAGCGCAAACATTTCGCACCTTCGCTCGGTGCTGCAAAATTCTAATTTCGCCGTGTTTTGTTTTGTTTTGTTTTCGTCGAACAATGGAAACTAGGCTAAGATCCTAATGACGAAAAACGCTGCACACATGTATGTATTCGATGTCATTTTTGTAGCGGTTTCAAGTACTTAACAGGGGAAGAAAAACTGTAAAAAACTGAAAAAAAAAAATAAAAACGTGCTGCTCCTGAAAGTTTATGTTGGAAATATTGTTGAGCTTTTCTATATCCTTAACTCAAGTGTAAGGGTAAGCAGAAGGTAGAATCGAAAACCACA